GGTAGCCTATTGATAGCCGATTGATAACCTATTGATAACCTATTGATACCCTATTTAACTAATTTCGACCTGTGCGATGTTTTAGTTATTTTAATTCGTTTTACAGGTATATTTGTATGAGTAGTATTTGGAGTAATAGTTGGAGTGTGAATAGTGCTAGTTGTGGAACCTTGTAAATTAATATTTTTTTTAGACTTTGCATTATCCGGTGCTCCTAGACATTCTTTATCAAGATGATTTTGCATTCGTGCAGGAACAGCTCTATTCAAAACTTTAGAACAATAATTACATTGTACAGTAGGATGGGAGTTGTTTTTATTACTTTCTGTTTGGTTTTGTGTAATAATAGTCCAATGTTTCCAAACAGCACCTTTTTTTTTAGTCATTGTTAAATTGAAAAATAAAAAAAAATTATTGAAAAAAAGATCGATAAAAATCAGAAAATTGGTCACATGACTGTGATCACTTCTTTTAATTGGCTAATTTATAATTAACCAAATTAACCGTTAATTAACCGCAGTTAATTAACCATGGTTAATTAACCCCCATCCCTAGCTGGGTACTACAGTGACCTCTATTATAGGTTTTTCCAGTCCTGCTGACTGTATAAAATTCTTTTTATATAAATATATAAATTACATAATTTTATGAAATAATTAATAAAATATATGGTATATAGTTTGCACTTTAAATTTAATGGTAAGAAAAGTTTTTACTTTTCAAAAATTTTTATAATATCTTTAACAGATAAATAAATAAATTTAAGTATATTTTATATTATAAAATATTTTTACAAATTTTTTATATACTGTATATTATTTAATTATATTTATTTAAATATAAGAATATTGAATTAATATTTTTATTAATAGATATATCTTATTATAATTACACTATTAAATAATTTTAATATAAAGGAGGTTAACTGTATATTTTAATAATTTTTATATTATTTAATTTCTTTTTATTAAAACTTAAATAATATTATAAATTTATAATTAATTTATATAAAATTATATTACTTTTTTAGTTTCAAATAAAACTCCACTTATTTATAATATAGATTACCTTCAAATTTAAAGTAAAAATTATATATAAAATTCTTTGCAAATCTTATTATAAAAGGAAATTTTATGTTATATTATTATAATTTTTTTAAAAAAACTAATTAACTAATAGAATTTAAAAAAAAAGTAAGGTAAAAATTATTAGTAAAAAGTCAATTTTCTATGGTAACTTTTATTAGTAAGTAGGGTAGGGTCTTCTTTAAATATTATTATTTTAAAAACTAATAATTAAATTTTAATAATTTTAGACTTATTAAATTTGTATTATTAAATAAATATTTTGATATTTACTTTATTTTGTAAATAAAATATTATTTAAAATAATTTATTTTAAGTATAAGACTAATTTTCTTCCCATGTGATTTAATCTAGGTGACATCACCTATATAAAATTAAATCATGTGAACCTGGTACGTATATATAGTACTAGAAAACAGAAACTGTTGTAAGTCTAAAGTGAAAAAAAAGGTTATAAATAAACCTTTATTTTGTTTATCTGATGTATCACAATGACGTGAGTCACGTGACGTATACAGACAACCGGATATCATCATGTTATACTATTTGACATAGTTTTTCGAAAACATATATAGTCCTTCGCTTCGTTCTGGACAATTACATCACTCATAAAAAAATAGTAGAAAGATTTATTAGATTAGTTAGGGTTAGGATTAGAATTAGGGATTTAGGAATTTAGGGTTAGAAGATTAGGATTAGAATTAAGGTTAGGATTAGGATTATGGTTAGAGAATTAGAATTAAGGTAAGGTTAAAGTTCGCTGAAATTGTTAAATTTGATAATATCATTTAAAAAGTGAAATTTACAGTTTAATATATAAAAATGACGTCATGCTAAGTTCATTTCCAAAAAAAGCCCTGATACTCTGATACTCTTTTTTTTCTAAACCATTTTTTAACTTATTCTCTTACCCTAACCCTTACCCTAATCTAACTAACCTTAATCCTAACCCTAATCCTAACCATAACTAACCTTAATTTTAAATTATAAAAGTTATAAAATTTAATTTTTAGTACAGTTGACATTACCTAGGTGATATCTTCTAGAGAGAAAGTTAGCAAAATTCTTATTTTAAAATTTTATTATATTTTAAATTATTTATATTGTTTAGATTCTTTTATATTAAATAAAAAATTATTTTATATTATAGATTAAAAGTTAAAAAAATAAAATTATTATCATTAAGATAAATTTTAATGGTATATAAAGAAAACCAAAATTATTCAAATACTTATTATATATTTTGGGATTTACTGTATATTATAGACTACAATATTCCAAGTATTAGGAATCAGTTAATACTATATTTAAAGTTGTCTACTAAAATTAATTTTAATATTTTAATATATATAAAATTGTAGAAATTATATTAAATTATATATAAAATTCTGTAAGAATTCTAAAACTACTATATTAGAATTATATAGTGAAAATATTGAAATTAATTTCTATAATTTCTACATTTTACAAATTTTTGAATATAATTTTAATATAATTTCTATTTCTATATTTTTATAATTTGCTGAAATTAATTTAATTTTAACAGGTAACTTGAAGGTATACAAAATTTTTTAAAAACTTGTAATATATTTAAAAAATATTTTTATATAAAATTAAATTATTTAAACAGTGAAATCAAAAGAAAATGGAGATTTTTTTCTTATTGTATTCATCTCATTAAAAGGAATTAAATAATAATAATGTTGAAATTGTTTAGATATTAAGTTTAGATATTCTTTAATAATATCTTTTATTTGGTCATAATTTTTAGCTTATTAGCATTTCCTTAAGATGATTCAAATAGCAGAAATAATTGAAATATAGAAATTTGTTTAATTATTGCTAATACAAAATTATATGTTTTTTTATATTAGACTATTGGTTAGCTAAAAACAGTGATATGTAAAATTTTTTTGATATTATTTGTTATATTTATATTTTATTATATTCTTTATTATCATTTTCTAAATCTTATTTAAATTATCTATTAAATTTACGTTTTTAAAGTGGTGCTACCATTACAAGTAACTTATGCACCGGTAAAATTTTTTTGTTACGGTAATTTTACAATCCCATCAGATTTGACTTTCACATGACTTTTTGGTCGTGATAAATTTTGACCTTTTCGATCATTTTGATTATTTCAACCATTTCGTTTAATTCTGTTTCATGTATTTTTGAAATGATTGTTTGAAAGTAATTTTATCAGAATAAAAAAGTGACACGTTTCTTATTTTACCCATTTTATTTTGCATAACTTTTACTAAAACTGCATGATTTTTCATCGATATTTCTTTTCCACAAAACCATGAAAAGTTTCTATCAAAGGATCGCATAATATAAAATCGAATGAGACGTGTTAGAGGTAGCAATTGTTTTATCTACATTAATTATTGGAATCTATTACCTACTTTATTAAGTGATCCTTTATCTGCAATAATAAGTTTGATATACAGTATTTAATAAGGGAATTAATTATTTAGACATAACGATATATTTAAAGCCTTACAATTATCTTCCTGCATTGAGTTTCAGAAGAAATTATCTTTCACACAAATATTTTTTTTTGTGTTTTTTATTGAACATTTAATATTATTAATTTATAAAATTGATACCTGTTACAATGGCGTAGTACTTTTCGTTGTAACTTAATGAGTTATCGGAGTTTCCGATCACGCCGCAGGCCGCAGATTGCGTAGTTTATTTTTGAAGCGCAATTTCTAATTGTTATTCGGAAAGATTCGGAATACGTCATTTGTAAAAAGGAAAATTTAGCCAAAAGATAACGGAAATCGGTTAAATTTTTAAATTTTTTATATGGGAAATAATAACTCCGAGGATTTTCTGATTTTCCATGGAAAAAAATTCGGAAATTAAGTGCATTCGCTTTGGATAAATTACTGCGTAAGTGGGTCGGTTGAATTCACTGCCGGAATAAACAAAAGATTCATTATTAATTATAATATAATAATACCTGGGTCAATCAATTACGGAGTTTTTTGATTATTTATTTTAATTTTTACATACCATAATATAAATAAAAAAAGAATATATATGTCAGATGTGGATTAAATATTTCAGCAGAATTTTTACCCTTTTTTTTGTTTTTAGATAAAATATTTTTTTTTTTTTTTTTTTNTCGCTCTTTAGGTTCTTCCGTCGTTTTAATGACAGGTTCTTCAACTGGAGTAGTCTCTTTAACGTTCACTTCATTGATATCTAATTGGATTAATATTTTTTTTTTTTTTTTTTTAAATAAATTAGCATTATAAAAAAATGGCTTTCGATACTATCAGTTTTAATCCCCAAGATGAATATCAAGAACCAACAAAATTATCGACTGAAGTGATAATAGGTACCGATGAAAATAATTTATCAAAAAAATGGATAGAAAATGACCAATATTCAACACCACCTTCACCTTTATTACACAATAACCCTTTAAATCGGCATGAAAAAGAAAGTAGGTTAAGTTGGATGGGAACATCATCCTATAAAGCACTTTCATCTTCCATGCCAAATTTAATCAAAGATAATAATTCAACAATAAAATCGTCGCCCAACAGAGCTTTATCAATGCAAATTATTTATGAAAATTACAATGATACAATGTCACAATTAAATGTTTCGGATCAGTCTTACCCTCTAACTCCACAACTTAGCTCAGGAATTTCACTTACAACCACCACGGAATCTTCTACATCATCATCTCCTACACCGCCACCACAATTTATTTTCGAAAAACCTTCTTATAAATCATCAAAGAAAAAATCAAATTTCTTTCGTGAATTAAAAATGGCATTTAAATCCCCATCACATAAAAAATCGAGGTCCACGTCTAATCTTTCATATTATAATTACAAACATGTAGAATTTAATAAATATGGTAAATGGAGCAGAGAACTTGGATCAGGTGTAGGGGGGACTGTACGATTAATAAATCGAAAATCTGATAATAAACCTTTTGCTGTAAAACAATTTCGTAAACGTTTTCCGTATGAATCGGAAAAATCTTGGCTAAAAACTATTACCGCAGAATTTTGTATAGGGTCGGTTTTACATCATGAAAATATTATTGAAACCATAGATATTATTCAAGAAAATGGACAATTATATGAAATAATGGAATTTGCTCCTTATGATTTATTTGAAATTGTGATGTCTAAAAAAATGTCTCAAAATGAAATTTTTTGTTGTTTTAAACAAATCGTAATGGGTGTAAATTATTTACATAGTATGGGAATCGCCCACAGAGATTTAAAATTAGATAATTGTGTTTTAAATGAATTCGGCATTGTAAAATTAATTGATTTTGGTTGTTCTACCGTCTTTAAATATCCATTTGATAATAAAATCATGCTCTCTTCAGGTAAAGTATCAATAAATGTAATCATCATTATTTCGATTAATTATTAATTTTTTACTGATAAAAATTCTTCTTATTTGTATTGTTTAGGTCCTTGTGGTTCTGATCCATATATTTGTCCAGAATCATACACTCACTCTTCTTACGATGTAAGATCAGCAGATATATGGGCAATAGGAATTATCTTTGTATGTATGGTTATAGGGAGATTTCCTTGGTTGATTGCTAGAGTAAGCGAAGACACTTCATATAAAGCATATTTACGTTATCCTGATCGATTAATTAAAAAACTTCCTCCAGAGTCTCGTTCTATTATGAGAAAGATACTTGAAGTTACTCCGGAGAAACGTGCCACATTAAAAGATATTCTTGAAGATGAATGGTTTAAAAATGTTGAATATTGCACAGTAGCACACAAATCCACTAATCATACACATCATTTGATAGACATAAATAGTAATTAAAAGTAGTAATTTAATTTAACGTAGAATGTAATATATAAATATTTTTTTCTTATCTGTATAAAAAAAAAAATTCACAATTTATTAAGACATTATTTGACTTTGTAAAATAGAAATCAAATCATTTAGTAGAATTAATAAATAAATGCAATTTTTCGCTAATTACAAAGAATTATTTATTGGATTATTATAATTTTTAACTATCGGAAAAAGTATATAATCAAGATCAACTAAAATTTTGAAAAATGATGTTATACGAATAATTAATTAATAAATATTTTTCCATATGGCAAAAAAATGTATACCGTAGATCTTATTTATGACATTTTCACAAATTAAACGTAAGTTTCTCAATTTAGTTTTTTATTTCCTGGCTATAGATAAAACTAACCTTATTTCGATCTCATACTCCCTAAATCTTGGAAACTAATCTCGATGAGGGTAGATTTGGATTCAATATATAAACAATCCAACCAAAATTTAATGTTTAAATAAATATATTTCTCCTATTTCTTCAACATCCAAGGCTCCATGGTCTAGTAGTATGATTCTCGCTTTGGGTGCGAGAGGTCGTGGGTTCAATTCCCGCTGGAGCCCCAATTATTTTTCGACTATTTTTTTTTTTTTTTTTTTCCTTTTATATTTAATTTTTGCTATACACAAATTTAATTTTATTTTTTTTTAAAGAAATAAATTAATTTAAAGCCTAATAAAATTATTTTATTTACCGTAAATATTTAAAAAAAATAAATATAATTTAATAAATAGTTTTTATTATATTAAGATAACTTTTTTTTTAACAATTACAGGTATATTATCATAATATCACTTATTGGTAAGATGAGTGGTCTGAAAAGTTAAACCAATTACAGTCAGACCTACACCTCTTGGGACCATATGCATAATTTTCAAAATAGTGTATTTAGAGAGGGTGTGCATTTATAGAGGTAAAATAATTAGAGATCATATAAGCTTCAGGAAGGTGCATTTTAGAGAGGGTATACATAGTGAGTAGAGTGTAATTATGGAGAGTGCAATTATAGAAAATCTGACTGTACTGGTATATCGTTAACGACCAATTTGATTGTAAGCATTTCGATATATGGCTTCATAAAAGCCGTCAGAATATTTTGATAAACGAGAAAAAAAGTTTTCTTTTGATTAGGAATCCATTTCCATTTCAAGAAAAAAATTTTTTGTTTTACTTGACTATAGTACTTGTTCTAATTCCTTCTTTATTAAATACTTAATAAAGTTAATAACAAAGGATTATTTGTAATTTGAATAAAAAATATTTGAGCCAACACTTTCAATCCTAATCCAAAAATTAATATCAACAAAGTTTTGAAATATCCAACATTCAAAAATACTATAATTTTTTCTTTTTTAGAATAAAAAATATATTAAATTTCAAAAAAAAAAATTTAAGAAAATAATTAATTACCTGCAAGTGCTTCCACATTAGAAGTTAATACTACGATATTTATAAGCCAAGAATATTCCAATCCATTATAATCCCAAATCACCATTAATATCAATAAAATTTTTCCAAAACTTGATATTATTAATGCTATTGCAATATAATTATATCTAAAATGTAATTAATATATATTATTATTTCATGCTCTCCCGTATCTGTTGTATTATTTAACAACTTACTTTATAATAGCATATTTATCTCCGATATAAAAACTTACGGCCAATCTTACACCAAACTGAAAAACAACAAATTCTATAAAATGAAGTAAAAAGTTAAAAATATTTAATGCTAACAATTATAAATAATTTTTTTTTACCTACCTATAACACACAAAAATAAAATATATAAGTATTGTAGAAAAACTGGTTGCTCAATAAATGGGATGTTTGAAGCTGTATAATATTTTTCTAATCTAAACCATTTTATATCTTTTAAAAAAAATATGTAATATAATAATAATAAATGATTGATTATATAAACAAAACAATAAAACATCTAGTTTTAGATAAATTTCAAAGGATACAAACGTCAAAAAGTATAAGAAGAATGCCTAGTTTAAATACATTGGGCTAAAAAAAAAGAATGAATGAATGATCTTTTTTATTACTTTATTATAAAAAGAAATTGAGAAAAAAATTTTTTTTTACTGACATCTATGCCATGATCTCGATATTCTAATCGATTAAATAATAAATGTCGATATACTTGAGGTTTATGTAGTAACATATCTATAAAAATTATAACAAAATCATGTTCAACATATTTATCCGCAAATTTTTTGCATTTCTCCTATATGATTAATCCAAATTGAAAACTTAGAGAAAAAGGTTGCGAAGATAAAAAATAAAAAAAAAAATTTACACAAGGTGTGAGTCTTATATTTCCTTTACTATATTCGGTATATAAATTCGTTACAGGAGCTCCACATTCAACACAAGTTGGCATATTTGGCATATGGCATATCATAAAGAAAAGAGTTTAACGAATAAATAAATCGATAAATTTGAATAATTTATACAAATGATCGCCGATCATTCTTAGATCATGCGTTGTCGCGTTGTTAATTGCCACGTTTTTCTATTGGGCGACTTTGTGTAACCATAACAATCTGACCAATTAAATCTGAACAACACATTGAATTTCCATTTAAAAACTCGAAGTTCCTTTCCGCATCAGAATAACTTCTTCTTTAATATCTATCATATCTATCATAAAAAATGCAATTATCATCACTTTCATTTTGGTGGTTATTATTATTATTATCGGTAGATTATATATATGGTGGGGCTGATTATTATTCAATTTTGGGAGTTTCGCAGTCAGCAAGTTCAAGAGAAATTAAGAAAAAATACAAACTATTATCAAAAAAATATCATCCGGATAAAAATCCCGGTGATAAAGATGCTGAACAAAAATTTGTCCAATTAGCCGAAGGTATAATAAACTAAATTTTTTACTATAAATGAATTTTTTTTAATAAAATCGAATTTATTGATTTATTGGTTAATTTTATTTGATTCATCATAATAGCTTATGAAGTTTTATCAGATGATAAAAAACGACAGATTTATGACAAGTATGGGGAAGAAGGATTAAAACAACAGAGTCAAGGAGGTTTTCACAATCCATTTGATATATTTGCTTCTTTCTTTGGTGGAAACCATTTTGGTGAGAAAAAATGTATATTTATTTATTTTTTTCTTAAAGTTCATTTTAATTAATTACGGTTTGATTCAACTTAGGTCATCAATCACAATCTGAAAGACAAGGTCCAAGTACTGTTATAGAATTGGAAGTGGAACTAAAAGAATTATATTTAGGAACTCAAGTTGAAGTTGATGTCTCGAAACAAGTTATTTGTGGAAATTGTAGAGGAACAGGTGCAAAGAGAGCGGAAGACGTTATAACATGTAATGCTTGTGGTGGGCGTGGAGTGAAAGTAGTCAAACAACAACTTGGACCTGGAATTTTTCAACAATTTCATTCTACGTAAGTAAAAAACTCATTCTTTCTTTTAAAGAAAGTATTATTAAAATTTAACTTAATTTATGTGTTTATGGTTCACAGATGTGATTCATGTGGTGGTAAAGGTAAAATTATAAAATCGAAATGTCCGGTTTGTAATGGAAAGAAAGTTCTACGTGGAAATGAACAATTAACAATAATAGTTGAGAAAGGACAAGTTGATGATGGGACAATTGTGAGTAACTAAAATTATTATATAAATTGTTTCTTTTTTTGCAAATATAACTAAATTTAAACTGTTTAGGTATTTGAGAAAGAAGGTGATGAATCACCCGAAATAATTCCTGGTGATATCATATTTAAAGTAGTGACAATACCACATTCAGTATTTGAAAGAAAAGGAAATAATTTATACGCAGAACAAACAATATCATTAATAGATGTAAGCATTGAGAATTAATTTTAGTTTAATTTAAAGGATTGTATGTTAATTGAAATGTTAAATTTTTAGGCACTTACTGGATTCGAAAAGAATATTACGCATCTTGATGGTAGAAACGTTTTGCTAAAAAGAGACGAGGTAACGCAACCAGGATTTGTTCAAACTATTAAGAATGAAGGTATGCCACATTTTAGATCGACAACCAATGGTGACTTATATATACAGTACACTGTTGTATTCCCTTCCATAATAGATGATTCTACCAAACAAGGTAAGGATAACTTAACGTCTAACTAAGAAACCTTTTTGATTTTACAATTAATTCTAATTTTTATTTTTTTTTAAAAAAATCAGGGCTAAAGGATCTATTCAAACATACAGCCACAAGTACTACAAGTAGTACTACAAGTAGTACGCATGTCAAAGAAGACTTATAATATCAAAGAAAATCAATAGAAAATTATTTAAAATAGAGTATTAATACATATTATATATGCATTATTTGGTCCTTTATAATTTTACCACAATTTCAATTTCATTGTATCATTCCATGATATCATAACAAGCAAATCAATCCATTCATCTTATGTAACTTGCAGAATTTAAAATGTACTCCTAGAAATTAATATAGTTTAATTCTTAATATCGAACAAAAAGAATGAAGTCTCAAATCCCTATATTATAGAGTTATTAGTCACGAAGTATTCAATATGGAGGTAATGATTGGCTGTCATTGTGCCACGCAGTGGAACAATCATTCAATATCCACCGTAATATTGCCTAATAACGATCATATCCTTGGTAGTCTTACGTGATCAGATAAATTAATCAATTTTGTCCATATTTGGCATGCTACATCATTTATTGCTGAATATCGGCAATAAATGACGTAACATGCCGGATATGCGAGCAAAATTATTGGCATCATGATACCGGATATAAAATTTAAGCATCTCATTATCCAAATATCTATATAACATATTATTTAAGGGAGCCAAAAAAATTGTTAGTAAAATGTTAGAGATTAACATTGTTTTATTTATTATTTTTAAATTTATACAGTAATGGCCGTTTGGCCATTCACCAAATAACAGCCACCATTAGTTTAAACTAAACAACAGCCAGATCAAATGCGTATTTTAATAACACGATCAATTCAAAATTTAATTTAATAATAACTTAAGAACGAATGTCGATTTATTTAACAAAAATTTGGAGTTTACATGCGCCACAAATAAAATTTACGTAAAATACAGACTCATAAACTCATTGGGACCCTGACCCTGCAATGATCACCGAGTAATTGATTGTATTTCACTTCATTGGCCGATAAAACCTGAATGACCTGCAAAACCTCCAATCAATGAACTACCCAAATTGGAAATTATGGGTGTAAGCAAATTCTTGAAGATGGAATTGCCATAACGGCATGCGGTATCCCACATTCTGTTCCAGAAAGATTTTTTTTCTTGTCCTATGAGATAAACAGAGGTTAAATACTTGTAACATTGAATAATAAAAACTTTCTTTTTTAACTTACCCCTCCATTTATTTATAACTTTCTGACGATATTCTTCGTATTCTTTTTTGCTTATATAATTATGAACAAAATAAGCTTCGTCCAGAGTATTGAGTTCTTGTAGTAAACTTTGTTCACCGGTAGATCTGGAAGCTGGTGAACTTCTTTGACGACTTTGTTTCTTTTCTTTATATTCCCGAGGGACAGTTATACTTTGAGTTTGCGTAGGGGGCGTAGGGGGCGTAGGGTAAACATATTGAATATAATATTGTGTTGGCGTAGGGTAATATTGTGGTGAAGGATAATATTGTGGTGAAGGGTAATATTGTGGTGAAGGGGGTGAAGAGTAATATTGTGGAGAAGTATAAGGGTAATATTGTAGTGGTGGTTGATATTGATTTGTACTATAATAAAAAAAACTCATAGTTATTGCTTTACAACCAAAAACGATAAAAGTTATATAATTATAATTATTTTATTTCATATATTCACCAAGGAAATATATGAAATATTGAAAATGCTTCAAATCTGATCTGAAAGTTCAAAAAAGCCAGTTTTATAAGTCATTGATCAAATTTTGTTTACAATAATTTTATTTGTAACACAAATTTATTTTTACATTTTTTCTTTTTAAAAACTTTCCTGATGTAGATTATCCCGATGCATTAGCATTTATTTTGTCTTTCAATATGGAAAATCAAAAAAGATATATATAGGTAAAGAATAAGATTTTTTTTTTAAAAAAAAACAATATTGTACCAATTCAGTGTAATGTGTTTATGTTTACGTGTTTATCTCTTTCTTATATTACTTTATTTAGTAGGAGTTTTTACCGCAAGGTTTAGTTGTTTGTACGCACAAACAAAACATTTGGTTTTTTTATTTATAGAACACCACAAAAGTTACCCCTTGCATCAAGAAAAGAACGCTCAAAAAGTTTGTGTTGAGTTATTAGAAAATGAATCTCCTAGAAGAATTAAAAGAGAACCAACGTAGATTAGATAATGGCGAAATTGATAAAAATGAATTCGAAAAACAAAAAAAGACATTATTAAGACAATTTTCGGGTAATTCAAAGGAAGATAAGAAAACTGAACATTCTCATGGTAAGTTGCCGAAAAAAAAGTTGTTGAGTTGTTATTTTTGACCATACGCTCATTTTCGTTTACGATTCAAAATATAATAGATGCAAATAAACCAAGGGAAACTGAATTATATGATATCCTCCAATTAAAGCCTGAAGCGACTGAGGCTGAAATTAAATTAAGCTATAAGAAACTCGCATTAAAGCATCATCCGGATAAAAATGGTGGCATTGAAACCGAAGAGGTACTGCATCAGATTTATTGTATATTAAATAATAAATATTAACTGAATGTCCTTAATACAACTAAACAGTGGAACAAGCTCTCAAACGCATACAAAATTCTCTCGGATAAGAACAGTCGTTCTCTTTACGATAATTACGGAACAATAAATGATTGTAGGATTCAAAACTTCTCGTGTATTAAATTAATTTCTTGCATCAATTGACTCAATGTTTAATTTGATTTTAGCCTTAGAAGGTAAAGCATCATTCAATCCATATGTAGGAGGAGACACTTGGCAACCATATATTGGAGACCTGGAAATTGGCCTTTGGATGTTTTCAATTATGAATGACGGTAGCTCACCTGAAATAAATGAGTTAACTTCTAATGAGCGGAGAGTACAACGTCACACCATTCGTGTATCCAATATTGTCCGTTACCTAAAAGACAAACTTTCTCGATTTCCGAAGCAAGATTCTTCGGAGTTTGAATCGTTTGAGGAAAGTCTTCGCCAAGAAGCTCAAAAGCTTTTATCGGAACCAAATGGAAAAGAGTTGCTATCCTCTCTGGGTGGAATTTACGTTTCCAAGGCCCAAGCTCACCTAAATAAATCTTTTTTATCATCCATTTCAAATAAATGTTCTAATATTTTTAACGGCGTTGAATTTACGGTGGACTTAATCTCTGGATACTTGGCAGCCAAAACTAAGGGTGGACCAATGATGAAACAGGAAGAGGTAAAACCCATCTAATCTTCCCTGCTGGGACTAACAAAAGCTAAAACTATTGCATAGGATGACTAATTAAATTTATTCTAAAAAAAATCTTAGATGAATAAAGTAATTTGGCGACTTTCACGATCAGAAATATCCTCCATCACACGTGAAACCTGTGATAAAATCCTGAATAATGATGAGGATGATAAGGATACAAGTTACCTCCTTGCTAATTCTCTACAACTTCTGGGCAAAGTGTGGTTAGGAGTAAGCAAACAATCTAAAATGTAATACAATCTAAGATGTAGGGTGTAATACTAAAAAGTGATTAATATTTCTTTGTTACCTTTACTGTAGAATATTTATAATTATTTATATCGTTTATCCAATTTTTTTTTTTTTAATTATTCCTTTACTAATATCAAGTAAAAAGATATACACTCCCATAATTTGCATAATTAAAAATAAAATTACAGAGGTTAATTTTATCTATAGAAACGCATAGTTATCCCTTAATCATTTTGTCAATTGACTTTATATTTACATTTGTCTAAATCACCTATTACAATTTAACATTTCCCCACAAAAGCTTGCAATATTAATTCATTTTGGTACTTTCGGTTCCATAAATTTTGATATGAAGTGACTCAGTTCTGGACCAAACTGACCGAGTCATATTATGGAACCATTATGGAACCGGAACCGGCTCATCCAATTCGAACCCCTATGTAAGAGAGTGGAAGGAATACGACTGTCTGTACGAGCATAATTTTTATTATCGTTGAACTACTAGCTTCTGCTAGGGTGACAGCTTTAAAAAATAAGTAGGATCTTTACAAGAACAAATTTGAAAGTAGGGATATTTTAAATACAAGTTGTATTTTATAATTATCATTATATATTAGAGAATAGTAGTATATTGTTCATTGTGAAGCTTCAATGATATATAGAAAAAAAAAGGGTAAAGGAGATGAAAAAGAAGGAATAAGGAGGTGAAAATAGGATTAAAAAAAAAGGTTTACATTCGTAATACTTAACTTTTGACCAACATATTATCAATATCTGATCGCAACAAATCATGATATGAAATTATTAATATATCAGATATAATTAATAAATGTATTATATTCTTAACTGTTAATTAAAATCATTAATATCTTTGCCGCCAGAATAAAGTGATAAATTATTTTTTATAAAAAGTATAAGAAAAAAAAAATTCAACTAATATATCAATTAACAAGGAAATTCAGGCGGTAAGTTTGTGTTGTTAACTCAGCGCCAGTATAATTCGGACGAATTTTAAAATGAATTCATCGTTTAATAACTAATCAATATTTTTTGGCGCAGATCAACAAATAAAAAAGTTATTATTCAACGGTTGGGAAATCATATAAAGACAAAAATAAGTTATTTATTTCTTTAAATCCCATTCTTGAATGCAAACCTGTTATAATAGATCCTATTCACGTGACAATATGCAATAAAAAATTCATGTAATTATTTTTAACGGATAATTTTATAATTTGTTATTCCCATGCTACGGAAACTCCTGAATGTATGAAATTAGGAAATTTCTAAACTGTGGTTGAAGTTATAGAGGTTAAAGAGGTTATAGAGAATGGAGCAGAACAAATAGTAATCAAGTATATACATTCATATTCATCAAAAGTATACATTTATCATAAAACTATACTATTAAATGATAAGCATCACAAATTTTGTTTGTAGTACAAACATGATTTTACCCTTTTAAAGAATAAAATAAAAAATCGATCTAAAAATCTTATAGATAAACATATTTTTACATAATCGAAACCATATTAGAGAATTTTTCCGTAATTAACCTTTTTAAATAAATAATACAGCATCCTTTTTTTTTTTAATACATTCCCTATATATAAATAAATTATATAATGTTAATTATTATTATTATTATTTTTATTATTATTTTCTTTTGTTATTATAAATATAAAAGACTTACGGTAATAATATTGCAATGACTAAAATCAAAGTAAATAAAGGGGTTCCAAATATAAGTGTAGAAAAATCAAACATTTCAAAATAAGGATTATGTATAAGATCTTTGAAGAATATCATTTGAACAATATTTATAAATGAATAAAATATAAAAGTTATTCCACAAATTATGTTAAATATTTGCATCTAAAAAAAAAAAAGATTATATTAATATAATTTATTAATAAGAAAAAATATTAATATAAATTTATTTATTACCTTATGAACGTGTAATTTATTCAAAATATTAGTATGATTCATATTTAAATTCGAATTCGAATCACAATTATTAATATCTTTTATATCATCAATACCTGCTAATATCATACTTTGATTTGTTAAATTAACAGATATTCTTCCATAATATATCAAACAAAAACCAAGAAATAAACGAATGATAAGATTAATAGTATCCAATAAAGTTGTTATTATAAAAAAAGATTTTTTTGGATAAATAATTGAATAACCTCTAATTATAGATGAACAAGTTAAACTTAATGTCGTAAATATACATGAGAACCAAAATATTATTGTTGATTGTTTATCTTTTGGTATACAAATAGTTTTTATATTTGATTTACGATTTGATGTTTGATTAAAACTTAATTTTGGTATTAAACGAAATATATTAGTCAAATAAATTAGAACCAAATAAAATCCTGGAATGAATGAAATTTCATAAAATGAAGCTCTTAAAATCACATGATTTGTAAAAAGGTCTAAAGCAATAGTAAAAGTGTGTAAACCTCTAAATAAACAATATATTGTAATCCAAAATAATATTAATTCTATAGATGACCATTCATATATTTTCCATGATTTGTTACAAGTAGATGAACGATAATTTAATTTCCAGCATAAAATTGTTAATGTTAATAAAGAAATTATGAAAGTAATTATTGTTGCGATTAATAACAAAGTTTTAAGTGTTGGAGCATCATCACAATTTCTTAAATTATGTCGCCAACTAAAATAAAAAATCAATATTATATGATTATATATTATATATTATAATGATATGTATAGCATATACTGTATTATGAATATCTAATATTTCTAAAGAATTACATATATATATTCTATTATGATAACTTACTCGCAAAATGAACTGAACCTCAAAGAATGAAAAGAATGGTTAAATTCATTAAATTCCATAATTCACATTTTTTTTTTTGTTTTTTTGGTTTTTTTTTGAAAAAAAAAAAAAAATCTTTTCTTCTTAAAACATCTCCTTTATATAAAATAATATTGATTTTTACGTAATGTTTTTGATACAGCAAATTATTCGGTGTATCTAATAATAATTGGTAAAGTGTATAACCGAAAGGTATGATTTGCGAATCTAAACCTTTTGTAAACTATCAAAAAGATTTTTGTTTGAGAGTGTGAGAAGGAAGAAGAGTAAGGGGAAAATTGGGAAAATTATAACCTTTCGTTATTCCAATGCATTTATGGAAATTCAAATTTGACCAAAAAAAGTATCGCAAAAAGTAAATGATTGTAAAAGAGACAAGGTTTTACACCAATAAACAAAAGTGCAACAAATAGTTGATGGTGATACAACCATAACAGATAACACTTAAAACCCCGATATTCCGATATTACAATATTGAATTCAAAAAAAAATTTGCTTATTTTATAAATTATATTATATTATTTTTTTTCTATTTATGAATTACTCCGAAACCAACCTATTCTTCCTTAACATTTTTCCTGTATTAATCGGTTATACCGAAAAAATTGATCTTCATGATATGACTTCTCATTGTGATATTCTTTGGCGTTAAAAAATTATCCAATAGAAAATTTACTTTACTAATCAACTTATTTAATAATAAAATTCCGTTTAGCCTTAATGATTTAAAATTAGTAAAATAGTATCAAGATTAATAATATATAGATTAGATTTTGATAATGAATTTTTTTTTTAAACCTTGTAATCTTTTTTATTTTTTAAAAAAAAATAATAATAAAATAGATCAGGATGAGAGAATTTTTAAAGATAGGATATATGTCGGAATTGCCTGCATATTATTAAAGTTATCATCTGTAATGTACGTACAATGCATGCTGTGTATGTGAAACTCTCAATAAAAACGCTGACTAAAATTACCTGGGAATCCTTTCATAAAATTACGTAAATAACTCGGGACTTTTTTACAAAATTTTACCGTAAAAAAAGACAATTTTGGTAATTTTTACAAATATTTAAACTTACGGTAAGTTCAATAGATAAAGGTAACACAAATTAAAACTTATTAAGTAATTGTTTTTCTTATTAAAAAAAATAAATTATCGCGTTGTTATAATGACTAAATTTCATGAAGGTTATCCGGATATGTCCGTATTATATCAGTCGAAAGATCAGTATTCGTCGCTCAGAAATATGAAATATATGCGTTTATATTTGCATATACTACGCGTTTTATCTATAAGGTTCAGGGGTCAGCATTAATGACATTAATGAGCCTTAGATTCTGCCAATAATACTTGAAATGTTATTTCGCATGTATATTCGAGAAAACTTTTTGTGTAATATTAATTAATTATAGAGTAAAAAAAAGAACGGTAAAATATGAATTCAAAGAAAAACTTAACCAACTAAAGTTACACGTGAAAGTTCATACTATAATACAGTATAACGCACAGGTATAATTTATTATAAAGTATATAATGCATAAAGTGTATAAAAGATAATGTTGATAATGTAATGTGTATAAAATGTATAAAATTTATAAAATGGCATCATTGATCAATTCATTTAAATTCACAAAATTCACATACTGATACGCCACAGATTTTTGGCGTTTATATACTCGAAATTTATTTTTTGGTAATTAACAATTGTGGGGAATGAATGTATTATTAAAGGTTAATGGACATGAGCAAATTAATTTTTTTGTTAATTACGTGGCTTCACAAATTCATCCAAATGTGTAAAACAAGAAAGAATGTTTAAGAAATAATGACACCCCATTACTTTAGTAGGAAATTAAAAAAAGGATGAAAGGATCGAAAATGAGTGTAATTAAATCTTTTATTATTATAAAAGAATTGTGGCTTAGAACTTTTTTCAAAAAAAAAAAAAAAAATTATTATTTTATCTATTTACATCATACTTATATATTATTATTTCTTTTCTTTTAATACAATCCAAGGTACATACAAGGTACATGAGCCTATTTTTCCAGGGAATAAACTGTTAAGATATAGCGAAAATAAATCTTTTTTTTAAAAAAAAATAACTTTGTTCCTTTTTTTTTTTTTTTTAAAAAAAAAAAAAAATTCGACAATTATAAAAAACCTGCATGTGGCGGTGTAAATCGATCGATTGTATCGATCATGAAAGATGCGCGGCCCGATCATAAAATAATAAAAAAAAAATCAAGAAACAAGTGAAGGCTTAGAGAAATAATCGAGAAAAAACTTGATAATAATTTGTATTTGTGGCTGTGTATTGAAAGAAATTTTTCTAAATTTAGTAAACAAAAAGCCACGAAATTTGTTGAAGAAAATCCATTATTATTGGATAATTAAATTATGATATCGTTGTTTAATAATCATATGAATATGAAATTTGTTTTTTTTTTCGTAATTAAAGTAATATGTACAAATACGTTTTCATTATTTAATTATATAGATTAAATTTCAGGTTATTTTGTGCATCACTATAATTGTTTTGTTATTTTTCGGAAGTTTAAACCTAAAGTAAGTAATGAAATTCGACAGGTTTGTTTTTTGAATGTCAAAAAATACATAAAGAGCTGAATCCCAATATAAAAAAAAATTGCATCTTTTTTTTTTTTCCGATAAATATTAATTTTATCATTCAAATGAATTAATGAATTGAAACAAATTAACATCCATGTCTCGAAGTCCTTATTTGCAGTAAGTAAAAGTCTATCTAATCTATTCACTTGATTTTTTTTAAAAGAATAATTAAAATTTTTTTTCTTGAATTTTATTTAGATGATACTTACAATATTCGAGAAAAAAAAGGATGAAAAAAAGTTAATTTTTTAATCAAATTTTTCTTCATTTCCTTTAATTGAAGGTGAAAGAAAAATTTTAACGCGTTTCGTCGCATTTTGTAAGAAAAAAAATTAAGTAATTAATTTTTTTTTTACATTATTTTTTTTTTTAAAAAAAAACATTTCCCGCACACTTCCTTTTTTTTTTAATAAAAAAAAGGATTATACTAAAAATTCGTCGCATTTATTAATTCATTATTCGTTTGAAGAAAAAAAAATACTCCTTTTTTTTACATTACACGTAATTCCGTATGTCATTTATACAACTTTACATTATTCCCGCATATTATTTATACATTCTTTTTTTCATGTATTATTAAATTACCTTATTACCTTTAGATTCTTTTTACCCTTTAAATTCTTTTAAATCTCTAAATTCCCTTTAGATTTCTTTAAATTCTCTAATTTCCTTTAGATTTCCTTTAAAATCTCTAAATTCCCTTTAGGTTTTCTTTAGAATCTCTAAATTCCCTTTAGATTTTCATTCCAAATCCCTTTAGATTTTCTTTTTAAATTCTCTAATTCCAATTCCCTTTAGATTTTCTCCTCTTTTTTAAATATTTCCTAAATTAACTTCCTTTTTAAATTCCTTCTTCTATCCTTTCTTGTACAATTACATACATATATTGTATCTTTGTCATATTACGACTATTTATTTATAGAACATTTAATTTATCCAATTTCATACATGTAAAAAAAAAATTCCCTACAAATTGTATATATATGCTAAGCTTTTTAAATTAATCTTTTAATTTATTTATATGTTATCTTACCACCTTTTATACAAGATTTTTTTAAAAAAAATTATGAAATATTTAAAATAACTTTTTTAAAAAAAAAACACCTTTATAAAAAAAAAATATATATATGTATATATAAATTATATATATATATATATATATATATAAATTTAAAAATAAAATAATTTAAGAACCGTTAATATGTATCATCATTTGTTGATAGATTTTTTTTTTATGATTTTTATATTTTATTATATGATAAAGTAATCAAAATAAAAATGATCAAAATTTTATATATAATTATTGAGTAATAATGATTAATTATTGAAATCATTGATATTAAAAAATTTCCGAAAAAAAAATGAAAAAAAAAAATGTTTTTTTTTAAAAATAATTAATATTATCATCGCAAACGATAAAAACGATAAAATTTCCGGGAAAAAAAACAATGGTTTTATTTTGATAAAATTTCCGAGAAAAAAAAAACAATGGTTTTATTTTGATAAAATTTCCGAAAAAAAAAAATGGTTTTTTTATTTGTATACTATTTATTAACCAAGAATTCAAGAATTCAAGAATTTTGAATTTACATTTTTCCGATATAATGTACAATATTCCGTTAAAATTGAATTCCGTAAAATATTATATTATTCCGTCAAAAATTAAATTCTGTCAAAATTAAAAAGAAAAAACAAAAAAACAAAAAAGATAGATTTAATAATGTCTTCCCTAAAAATTTTTAAAAAAAGAACAATGATCAATGAATTTACGAGTAGAAATCATTATACGAGTCGTCACAATTTTTTCAGATACTAAAAATTATAAATTACCAGTTCGAGTTAATCCGTATAATAATAAAACAAACAAATAAACAAAAAAAATTCATATATATATATGCATATCCAAATTAAGTTGTAACTGAGTTTGAATTTTTAATAAAATACATGTTTAACAAGTTGTAATGATTTAATTATAAGAGAATTTTATGATTTAAAAAATTTTAATTTTGATCTGAATAATAAATATTATCTGTTATCATTTTTGGTATTAATGTATTTTTGGTAGGTACCCTAAATTAATATCCTGGCGCTTTCAAATTTATTCTGTCATAAATCACGTGACAGTTAAAGGCTTTGCTCAATTATTAAAGTTTTTGTAATTTGTTATAATGAACCAAATGAAGACTCGATTATTTAAAGGTTCGGGTTCGAATCCTGTACTTGGCCCATGTCTTTTTTTATTGAATATTATACTGCGATCATTGGGCTGTGCCTTATTAGTAAAAATATTATGACATGAGTGCAAATGGATCGTTCTTGATCAAGTTAGTTATGTAATAATAGCATTTATTCGTAACGCGTTTTATTTTTCCGTATTTTATTATAAAATATTACTTTTAAGTATTAAATAAAAAAATATATGACTTTTTTCGCAAAAAGAATTTCTTTGACAAATAGTAAACTTATGGCCAATAAATTATTATTATAAATTTAATCGGGAATCGAGAAAATTAGCTCGTGATGACATCAAGAACGATATAAAAATCGTTGAAAAAAAAAAACTGATTAATATTATTAAAAAATAAAACCATTGTTTAAAAAAACAAAGTTTTCATTTATAAAGGTATATTCGGGTTCCTTATATTTGTGATTTTTATCTTATTTTTATTTTTACTTTTAGAAAGGGTTCTTTTATATTTGTGATGAGCCTCTCCGATGTTGCATACATCAATGACATGTGACCGTGAATACTTTTTGTTAACTCGGGTCACTTTGTATCACATAAACTCCGCAGTTCAGTAAATCCTAAATTCCTATTTGTCACACATGAATGATTCAATAGATTCATCCACCAATCACATCATAATATGTATGAGATTTCTATGAACCATATTTTAATATATATTTTAATATATGCGTGTTAAAAAGTTTAGTATTTCAATTTCAATTATCTAAAAAGAGTTTAGTTTATTATTTTTTAACGAACCGGTTTCAATAAAACCAATCCAAGTATAGGATGTGTATTTATTTTTAAGTGAATTTTTAAAAAATGTTTTCAAAATTGACTAAAAGATTACTCTAATAAGAAACAAATGAACATATTCTAACGAACCGGTTTCAATAAAATCAATCCAAGTATAGTAATTATTTTTAAGTGAATTTTTAAAAATGTTTTCAGAATTGACTAAAAGATTACTCTAAAAAGAAACAAATGAACATATTCTATCGAACCGGTTTCAATAAAATCAATCCAAGTATAGGATGTGTATTTATTTTTTAAGTAAATTTTTTTAATGTTTTCAAAATTGACTAAAAGATTTAATAAAATTAATCGATTATTATTTTTTTTTTTTTAAAAAAAAAATTCCAGTTAATAAAATTTTTTAAATTTTTATTTCAAAGTCTTCGGTTAATTTTTCATCTAAATAAGGGTTTTGTTTATGGTCAGTGGTCAGTTACCACAAAAGCTAGATTACGTATAATTACGTATTTTAAAAAGTAATTAAGTATAGCATGGGAAAATCATTGGGTAACACCCGTTTAGTTCTTGTTATCTTGTTTATCAAAAATAATTTATTATATATAAATTAATAATTATTCATTTTTTTAATAAAAAAAAGGTCTTCCCCTTTTTATTTCTTTCGAACCCGAATTTTTCGTATTTTTCTTGAAAAAAAAAAAAACTCCCCCAAAAAATCTTTCTTTAAAGAAATGAGTGAGAATGAAATTGATTTAGATGATTTAGATATTTCTGATAAGGAAGAATTCCTTGAATCTTTAAAAGAACCAAAGAAACTTGCTTTAGAAATTTGTCCTGTTGAAACTTGGACACAAATAATTTCTTACCTTGAAGATATTCCAACTTTAACTTCTTTATCTTTAACATGTTCAACTTTAAGAGTATTAACCAAACAACAATTATTATCTCAAATGGTAACAATTCCTTCATTAAATAAATTGTACCTTTTTACCAAAAATTTACATCCAGAATTTACCAATCAAAATGATATTACATTTAAAATGCATAAATATATTGATAAAGTTGTAATTGAAGAAAGTGGAGTTGAACCTTCAAAATGGACTGATAATATGTATGAATGGGATGGTTATAATCAATTATTAGATGATTGGAAAAATCAAGAAGATTTTAGTAAAAGTGTTGGTAAAAAAGGTAAAGCTAAAAATAAATCTTATATTGAATGGGAAAAGAATGTTGAAAATAAGAAAAAATTTTACAGACGAGAATTAGCAAAATGTTGGGCTGTTGCTGGAAAATTTTTTCCATTTAGGTAAAAACTTATATATTTATATATATATATATATATAACTATAAAATATATAATATATTATATATATTTTTATTAAATCTCAGTCATGCTGAGAATAGAGAATGGAAAAAGAAACGTCAAGACAAAACTTCAACTGATGATAATAATGAATTACCTCCAGAAGAAAAAGAAAGTAAGTCTAATCATTCACAAAAACAACCATCAAAACATCATCAACGTCATCAAATGAAGTCGCAATCGGTAAATCAAAAGCCACCAAAGGCCCCAAGACGTAAAGATTTAGAAAATAAAATGAATCAATCTAAAAATTCTGATAATAATAAGTGGAAATTTTCGCATGAAATACGTAATCAACCTAAACCAAGAAGACCTAATATAGGTAAAGGGGAAGAAGACTTTAATCGTACAATCTTGACAAATTATGTTACTCCTAAAAATTTTAATTCAGGCGTGAATTTTGAGGGTTATTCTCATGATGATTTAACCACTGTAATGATTAAGATGTTGAAAAGATTTGATGTAAGTGATGAAAGAGTCCTGAAATTTCCAAAAGAATTAAGTGCTTATCAAAGAAAACAATTACATCGTCAAGCTGAAATTCGTGGATTGAAAAGTATTAGTTTTGGTGAAGGTGATGGTAGATTTTTGGTTGTTATGAGACAGGATGTTGTAATCTTTCGTTAAATAATTTGATTTGAAATTTTGATTTTGTCTCCAATTATTTATTTATTTAAATTAATTTTGAATTTCGTTATTTTATTTAAATATTTTTGTATTGTACTTTTTTCAATTATTCAATTTGAAATAAAGGAGGATACAAAGATACTTATTTTTGATGGCGCAGAATTATCATCACAACTTTTTGATTCTTTGCATTGTAAAACTGTAAATGATTTTTTTTAGTCATAACAAATTATTTATGTGTAAAACAAAATAATTAAAATTATTCTACCATATCTTTCCTAGAGAAGAGTCCCTGATCTTCGCGTTATCCATCTGTATTTATGAACTAAAGACTAAAGTGATATTTATTACTGCGTATTGTGTAATCGAAAAGTCGTACAAAATACGTGGAACAATCGGAGTGGGAAGATTTGCCTAAAATATACGATAATTCAGCCTATAACTAACATAAATAGGTAAGTAATATGTTTATTAATTTTTTTTTTTTTTTTCAATTTTTTTTTTTTTAATTTGGAAAAAAAAAAAAAATAAAAAGATTTTTTTTTTATATGATCTGATTTGACTTTTTCTTCATCGGTTCATCCTTCATCGGTTCATATTCTTATTAAATAATTTGTTAATTTAAAAAATTCAAAGAAAAAGATAATGGGGGATTACAATTTGAGTAAAGAACGAATTATATTAAATGTTGGTGGAGTTAAGGTAAAATTTGTTTACGTCATGGTTTATTACCTTATTATTTGAAATATACTGATCTTCGAACTCTTATAATTCGTTTGTTAGTATGAAACGTATCGATCTACTTTAACAGCATATCCAGAAACGTTACTCGGAACGATGTTTCAAGAACGTAATCATGCATTATTACATCCAACTAATGATAATGAATATTTTATTGATCGTAATGGGAAAGCATTCCATTATATATTAGAATTTTATCGTACAGGAGAAATTATTTGGCCAAGTCAAGAAGATACTGATACCAAAACAACAAATTTTTGTTGTTATACATTTGTAACTCGAAAAGAACTTTTGAAAGAATTGGATTATTTTCAAATTCCAATGAAAGAGATGTCACCTGATAAACATAATATGAGCGCTGAAGAAGAATATAAATTATTAGCAATAAAATTGGATGGATTTGTTAAAGCATTATTGGAATCTATATGTTTAGCAAGACAAGATTATCAAAATATTTTACATGTAAAATTTTATGATAGATTACCAACAAAAGATGTACCAAAATCAATTCATTCTCAACCTAATATTGATAAATTATTAAAACCTTACGTTTCTAGTGGTTATTTTATGTTAGAAATGTTTCCTAAACCAATTGAACATTATATTAAAAAATATATACCTGATATAAGATGGAGTTTAGATAAGAGATTTAAATATGAACCTGAACCAAATTATTTTGATTTAAAGATTGTTGGTAATGTTTTTGATAAAAATGAAATCCTTAAATATTCTTCTCTTAACTTTAATTTATAAAAAAAAATAATAAAATAATCTTTTTTTTTTTTTACTTTTTTTATTATTTTTTTTTTTAATTTTAGATATATCATTAATTTTTATATATATATATATATAATATATATATATATATTTTCTTTTAGTATAATTTTTGAACATTTATTATTATTTATTTTAGATTTATATATATACATATTATTATTATTATTATTATTATTATTATTATTTATTAGAGTATAAAAAAAGTATTTTCAATATTTCAATATATATTTATATTGCAAAAAAAGAATAATTTTTAATTTAACAATGATAACTTGACGAATGTATAATTTAGAGTATTAAACTTAGAATTATTTATGTAATAAACTAACTTTATTAAACTATTAAACTATAAACTATTTAAACTTTTAATCACGAAATCACAAAGTTTAAAAAGTTATACAACCAATCGATGACATCATCTAATTCTTAACACGTCCTAATTTTCTCACGCGTCAAACGATAAAGTTCATTTAACGACCAATTATAGTTCGTACCACTTCTTCGAAAAACTTTAATCTATTAAAGGTTTTAATCACGAAATTTTTTTTTTTTTTTATAAAAAAAAATAATTTCTTTCAATTTTTCCTTTCAAAAAATTAAATTAGTTTCGAGATCACATGACTATAAAACGCGTAAAAAATTTAATAGAAATTTTAATTATTCAATTATTCAACAAGAATTACCTCCCTTTATACCTGAACCTATGAGTAATTTTTCGATTATACTATATTTTAGAAAGAAAGAAGTGGTATGTTCAAAAACAAAATTATTTTACTTGCGTAAAAGTAAACTAAGGTATAGCCATATGTTCTCAAAACTGGCACAATTGGCACAATTGAAAGCAACGAAATGTCTATCTTGTTTTGTTCTAAGTAATAGAGTTGAGATTTCCTTCATTAAAGCAACACAGTTTCTTGCCCCATTGAATGGTCAATATAAAAAGCGTCTGACCAATGTATAAACGTCTGGTCTATCACCATCATCACCATCACCATTACCATCACCACAAACAAAAATTTACATAATCAGTGAATTGCAAATACCATTGTAAATACAATAAGGAATGACAACTAAAAGAATGAGCTCCTTCGTTCCGGCTCCGGTATTCGTGAGGGTTCCAAATGTTCCTCTAGCATGTAGGTTAGGAGGACTCAAAACTCTGAATAACTATGTTATTATAATATATATATTTAGCAGAATTATACAAGAACTGGATCCTAATGTAACAAAATTCAGTTTTGAAGAATTTGTGCAAGAGTGTGCAACTCACCTTGATCAATACCTCTCGAACACTCAAGATCAACATAATCATTCTTTATTAATATAATCTTTGATGCTAACCGAAGCATTTTTACACAATTGCCTAGCATTTAATGATCATATTAATTACTTGATTACGATCGTAAGTTCATGAATCTTCGCGTTATTAAACGCCGACCAACTTCCGAGAATTTATAAATATGTTCAACGGCCCACGTGATTCTTCTTTCGTAGGATAAATATTATTAATTGTGCAACATTTTTTACCATATCCTAGAAAATTTAGTTGAAATGAGTAATGAAAACCTAATTGGACATACATCAATCAGATGTCCAATGACCAATTATATATACCGGACATAATTTAAATACACTGGATGGACTACGAAATAAAGGTACGACTCTAATAAGAGAATTTCATAAAACATCTGAAAACTTAGATAATGATTAAATACTAAAAATGAAATAATATAAAATTTACCGGTAATTCTTTGCATGTCAGCAGAATCACAATTTACGTTCAAATGTCACATATAAAGAAATAATTCTCGTCTAAAGATAAAATTAACTAATAATAACCATGTATTTTGATGATTGACCTTCATCAGAACTTTTGTTATATACTGTAGTGGAGGTATTTCAAATTTCATTTTTATAATATAAGTAAATATTTGTTAAAATATTTAATTTGAATATTTTCTTTTTTTTAAAAAGAATTTCTAAAAATATATATACCAGAATAGCCAGATTCGACGTGAAGTATGAAAGTCGTGTCTATCTTATCTAGGAACAATGGTAAAAAATTAATGAATAGTTTTAATAATGTAATTTTTTCACAAAGGATCCAAGAATAAAAACAATTACAAGTAATAATGATAATAATCAAAAGCATTATTTTATTTTATTTTATTTTATTTTTTAAAAAATTATATTACGATCTTCTAAAATAATCTCGAATCAAAAAAAATAGAATATATCAAAAACCTTTTTTGATTTAAGTCTATCTCATATTTTAAATGAAGAAATAAATTAACCAATAATCTTTCATTATCTTATTAAGTAGATTTTTCTTTTAATTCATCAACTTCTTCTTGTTCAGGTTTATCCTTTTCAATTTGAATTGGAGGAAGCCATTGAACTGGATGTTGATTATAAAATGACCAAGGTGGAAGCACAAACTTTTTTTTTTTTAAAAAAAAAATTATATAAGAAAATGAATGAAAAATTAAAAATTGATTTTAATAAAATAATATGGATCAAAATACATACTAAGGATGTAAGAAAAATTCCACCGCCAAAGATTTGAAAAGCCAAGATAAGATTTTGTAGTAAGAATCCCGCAATAAATCCAATAGCCTAAATTTTTTTTTTTAAAAAAAAAACTTTTTAACTAAATACATATTTTCTTTGTAAATAAAGAACATATTAAAAGATTATCATATACAATATATACCGCAAATAATATGATTCCCACTTGAGAAATTAATTCAGCCTGTTTTTGACCTTCAAAATCCTAAAAAATATATATAAAAAAAACCGTTATAGTATAATAAAATGGTAATAGTCAATAATAATAAAAGATATTCTTACAATTTTCCATTCGAACCACATTATGCTAAATTAAAAAAATCCTCAAATTAAATAAATCAAATTTAACAATGTTATGAGTTTATTTAAATTAATTAAATTAAGTAAATAATAAATTAGGGTAATATTAAAAAAACAATTTATTAATTTTTATGTTATATGAAACTTTAAAAAGAAATTAACTCGTCAAATTCTATGCATTTGATAAGAAAAAAAAATTTCGATTATTACTCTCATTATATAAATTTTTCAAAGTTATTTGTACAACAAAACGTGGAGCTAATTGATTAATCACCTGAATTGATTGGTAGATTGGAAGGATCGTTATCAGATTGAAAATCATCTTTTTTAAGGCATATAAAAAATGCTTACAAATTAAAAAATTATTTTAAACGCTTTTATTTTTATATTTTTTTTTTTTTAATAAAAAAAAAGGAGAATGGATTCTTCAAACAATACTGCAAATTATATTGAAAAATTAGAATGGTCACTAATTTTAGGAAATTCTATACAAGAGGAACAAGAGAATTCATCAAATTCAACAGAAACTTTAGTATCGAATATTATCAATGGGCTATATAAGGAATGTTTGACATGTAATATAGCAAAACAGATTTTTGGAACAGAATTATCTGCAGAGGATGATTGTATCAAAAAATTTGTAGAAAATTTGGATGTAAACGCTTATATTTCTAAGAGGACCAAGGAGTATATTTCAAGTGATTTACCAGAATTAGAATCACAACAACAACAACATCATCAATTATTTAGACAACTTAATTTACTCTGTATTGCAATCGCTTGTTTAAATGCCTTTGTACAAATTTCTTGGACGGGACCAAATTTGGATCTTGAATCACATGATCTTTTACCAACAATTATAAGAGAAAAATGCAATACTGACGAATTAAATAAGAAAGCTCTTGAAATATTGTCTGTTGATGGTGAAGAAACTTACCATTTGACACCTCAAGCTTTATATCTTCTAATTTCAAGAATTATCTTGGTGGAAAATGAACAAATTTTTACTGATTTGAAAACATCTTTATGGTGGGCGCAAAGAGTTCTATTCATTCAACAACGTATTCTAGATAATGTTGCCGGTTCTTTGCACGACTTAATGTTTCAATATTTTAAAACACTTGAAAGTAAACTTCCTTCAACAAATTTAGATATTTATACTAGATATTATATTGAACTCGGTCTTTTATATCATTATTATGGCCAAGATTCTTTAGGGGTTGATTGTTTTTTAAAAGCACAAAAATCAAGTGGATTTCAATGGAAAATAACTGGAGCATTAGGCAAAAGAACAAAATTTCAAACATTTGATGTATCACAATTGTTAATTGTTGCTAATAGTGCTGATTCTAAAGAATCTCAAGATGAAAACACTACAAAGAAAAATCTTCCAGATAATTTAATATTAAACGATGACACTCTTCTGGAAAAAATCGAATTTTCTAAACAAGATGGCCAAAAAGATGACAAAGATAATACAGATTTAGATCCTCATAATCAAAAGAATCTTAAAGTTATCGATCAATGTCTTTTGCTCGCTTTTTGTTTAGATATAAAAAATACTAATCCGTCTCATGGTATAACTATAGAACAAATGGTACCTTACGTATCTCGTGTATTAGAAAATCCAAACAATTGGATGGTTTACACTATGGCATTATTATTAAGATCACGCCTTGAAAAAGCAAAGGTTCGAACAGTTGAACGTTCTGTTCTTCAACTTCAAGCGCTCGTTGATCAATTTCCTCTTGAACTTTCTAGTGCGCAAGAACGAATATCATATTTTTATCAAATTTTATTACCACCAAAATGGGAAATGGAAAAGGAACTTGCTGTGCAATATTTGTCATTAGGCGTTGTTCGTTCATCTTTAGAAATATTTGAACGACTAGAAATGTGGGAAGATGTGATCAACTGTTATATTATGCTTGAAAAGGAAGAAAAGGCTAAACAAATTATACATGAACAACTTCAAATAACACCAAATTCACCCAAACTTTATTGTCTTTTAGGTGACGTTGAAAAGAATCCAAAACATTGGGAACATGCATGGGAAATTTCGGGAAATCGATTCGCTCGTGCAATGCGATCTCTTGGTGGATATTGGTATAAACATGAAGAATATCGAAAATCCGTTGATTGTTATGCGAATGCCCTCAAAATAAATCCTCTTTTTGAAAATTCCTGGTTTATTCAGGGATGTGCTGCAATGCATTTGGAAGAATGGGAAATTGCTATACAAGCTTTTTCTCGAGTTATAGCTATTGATCCTGAAAATCCTGAAGCTTGGAATAATTTAGCATCAGTGTTTTTGAGACAAAATCGTAAAACAGACGCTTTCAATGCATTCCAACAAGGATTGAAATTAAAACATGATAGTTGGAAAATATGGACAAACTATATGTATATAGCTATTGATATTGGTGAATTTGCTGAAACTATGAGAGCTATGCAACGTGTTGTTGACTTACGATGGGAAAAAGAAAAAGAATCATGTGTTGATGTGGAAGTGTTAGAACTATTAATAAATGCCGTTACGAAAAATATTCAAGATGCATCTAAATTAGCACCGAGACTTGAAAATTTATTGACCGAAACTATTACCTCGCGAATTACCTCAAATCATCATATATGGAAACTCTGTGCTCAATTTTGGTTTTGGAAGAAGGATTATGATAAAGTTCTTGAAGCACACTTGAAAGCATATCGAAGCGTATTACATGATCCAATGTTAGAATCTTCAGAGATTGTGTTTGAAAAAGTAGCCAATGTTGCATTAGATGTCGTAGAAGCATACCAGAATTTTGGTGATAAAAAGGTTTTACGCAAAAAAGATTCTAATACTGATATAATAGAAGAGGAAGAGATTATTGTTTGTAAAGATTGGAAATATCAAGCTAAAAGTTTATTAAAGAGTTTGATAGGAAAAACAAAAAATTCTTTTGAAGGCACACCAATGCACGACAAGTTAAAAGAAACATTAAAAGAATTAAGTTAATTAAGTATATTAGGATTTATTCTTTTAATTAATTTTGAATTTTAGTATTTTAGCTTATAAATAATTTTTAATATAGTGTCTTAAAATTAATTAAGATATTATTATCCCGGAGTTCCTAATTTTTCACTTGTGAATTGAAGTCAGGTCTGAAATAAAATCAGTAAAAATAGATCTAGATTTTGTAGCAAATGCCGTAAATAACATGTAATATATTTTATTTGTTAATAAAAAAGATTAGAGCATGTTTATAATTCAAAGTTTATTTATGATCATATCATACAAAAAAATATTATTATTCCTAATAAGCAATGAAATCTGTAAGCAAAAGAAAAAGTAAATTTTTTTTGAATAAAACAATTTAATCAGCAAAATCCCTGAGAAGAGTAGTAATATGTGAACAAATTAATGTGACCAAGTGCCATTTTCAATACCCTTAAGAACTATTTTCCAACGATTCATAACTTTGAGCGTTTTATTTACGTTTCTTTTCCTGTTCATTAAACCACCATCGCACAATGAACGTTCATGTCTCTTCTACATTTTTTTTTGGATAATTTATAAAACAGGTAAATAATGATGATAAAAATTAAACAAGAAAAAAAAATAATTATTACCAGTTTATGCTCATAGCGGCGCCTCTTTTGCCCAGTTTTCTTCATTTTGCCAGTAGGTTTCGCAGAAACATGCGGTACTTTATCCATTTCATACAATTTACTCCTTGTGTCAAATTCTTTCTCAAGTTCCTCATAAATGAGTTTAGCATGTTCTTTTAAAAGATAAGGGGAAATTTTTTCTACAGTTACATTGTCTTGACCGGACTCATCTTTAACATGTTCAATATCACTAGTTTCACTATCATTTAAGTCTTTCTCATCGTTACTGTATTCATCCTGATATTTTATTTCGTCATCCCTAAGTTCATTTATACTCTTGAACTTTTCTTCAACATCGTCAGCCCAGGAAATTGGTTTTTCTTTGTAGATATCATTCATAAAGTCATCTTTTTCATCCTTTGATAGAATTTGTTCTGGTTTCATTCGTGATTCTCCTATTAGATGCTCCTTTTCTTTACCTTTCGTTTCTTTCTTTTTACCAACTGATTTTTCGAGTAAAGGACCATGCATTTGCTGCTTGATTTGCAATTTTTTATTTTTAGCATTTCTTAAAGTTGCATCGGATACAATACCTTTATAATTTTCTTTTTGTTTCGTTTCACTTAATTCATTCTTCCATTCATTTTTCCATTCATATTCGAAAACTTCAAAAACTTCAACCAAGTTCGAGACCAATCCAATATTACCTTGACTATTTTTAATGTCATCCTGAAATAAATCTTGATACATGTCACAAGCCGAATTGGCTTTTCTGATGAAATCAGGTAGTTTAACAACCTTACGTTGTTTACCACCCTCAGAAGTGATATTGGTTTCATGAATATTACGATACACTTTTTCAAGGCGACGAGTAAAGATTTTTAATACAATAGTTAATGGGACTGATGTAATTTTGATTGTCGATTCTTTTTCATCTTTTTCATAGACGGATGATTGAAAAGGTGAAGGAGCTGATGTTTGATAAAGTGAAAGTGTTGATGATGGTTCCGAAATTTCTAATGTTGATGCCAGGACTTTTAAAGTTGACATTATAATGTAAAAAGAAAATTTTAATCCAGATTATGATCAAAGAAATTTTTAACGTAAAAAAAAAAATCTGGTATTGAAAAACGACGTATATTTATAATTTATTTATTCTCATTACCTGAGTTATCACAGAACATTTTTTTAAATATGGCAATCAGCCAAATATATAGAAGAAGAGATTTGATTTTGAGAGAGTCAAAATAATTTAACATCAGTTGATTTGAAGAAAATTTAATTGAGTTTTTAAATTCTTTACTTTTAAACTCGTACATAATTATGATATTTTCGATTGATCCTTTTTTTTTATATTTATAAATTACATCACATTATATATACTAATAGTGATGGCAAGTGATTGAACCAATCATTTTGATAAATTGATCCTTGATATCAATTCTTTAAGCTTTTTTATCAATACGTAGTTAGAAATTCGAATAAAAAAAAAAATATTGATTAGATATATATTTAGCCGTGACAACGTTGCGAAAGCATGTTCGATAATTAATGTATTGCTTAATATTAGTGAATCGCAAGTAGCAAAAAGCTTTAATTCTCGATGAATAGTATATTATACACATGAAATTAATAGGTAATAAGTTTGATGGTAATCTGATTGATTTTACAACATTGAGCTTGAAACCCGTTTTGAGTATAGTTCTCCAACAATAATGTCAAAGACACGAGATCCATTACTTGAGTATATCTCGAATGCTTAGATCTTCTAACGCTTAAAATTTTACCCTTTTGTTTTTCCTCATTGGTAATAAATAGAGCTAATGAAAGCTGACCGGTAACAAAATTTATAACAGTTTTAGCAGTGATCTTATAAGATCTCAAATGAATTTAAGGCGCAAATGAGCAAAATCATCGGAATAAATAAAATAACAAAGAACCTCGAAAATCTTCACCAGCGATTTCATGACTTGTACTATATTTTCAAGAAGGCAAATATTAATATTAAAAGAACAATATTATTGACCCTTGTTGAACCTATTTTTATTTCAGCCTACATTTCTATATACAGGGAAAGAACGTTGAATTTGGCATAAGAATATACAATATATAATTTGGCTCTCTCCAATCTTCCGCACAAATATATCCTCTAGTTCATTTATAATATCATGCTCGTAATTCCGATTTCTATTCTAAAAAGATGCGAGAATATTAGCGGATACACGGGTTTATGTTGAAGTAATTCTTTGAATGATGGATTGTGAGAGCTAGCTATGTGTATATTATTATGTAGACATCTACTGCCTCTAACTGTTAAACATTAGCCAGTAATTCGACCATTCGAAACCCAATTCTACGATTGCCATCCAAGACTCTTTATATTCTTTGATATACGCTTCATGGGTGTAATACATCCATCCCTTCCTGTGTTTATTACTTAAAGGATACACCAATGCAATTTCTATTAGGGAAAGACGTATGTCATAACACCATTAACTGGAGAATGCTCGTCAAGGGGTACAAAACAGGATATTCCGAGTGCGTTAAACAGACAACTTTTAATAATTCGTAGTTTTATGTTTTCAGACCCGAAGAGAATATCTGAGAGTCTTGTAAGTTCCAATTTTTCTTGTACAACTCTGTTATATTTATTAAGTTTATTTTTATAGAAATACATAGCGATTAATAATAATAATGACAAGATCTGACTCGATTTAGTGACTGTTCCTCACTCAGAAATGTGGCCTTTTTTATATTAGGAAATCAGAAGCTTAGGTTATGATCATGGTATATAACAAGATGCTGGAAATGTATAAACTGATAAATATGAAGTATGAACCAATATGAACTTTATCTACATTAATAAAAATTTCGATAATACCGTATATTTCTTGTTTCGATCCGTGCCACTTTCCGTGAATAATTAAAACATTTCGAAAAGCTTAAATTAAAACCTCAGAATCAATGAATAAAAATATTTTACGAATTTTAGAAGTTAATTCAGAATATCCAAGCATTGTATCTAAATTTGTATATTATTTATTTATAATTTAAAGAATGAAAGGAGTTACTGATACAACACGTACTTTCCTTTGATTAATTTAACAATTATAAGTAGTTTGTTTATATTTGGTTTCTTGTTCTTAAAATTTAATGAATGACGATATTACTAAATAAATTTTATTTAATCCCAAGGAAAATTTCATGTTCTAATCAATCGGTGTAACTAAATTCTGATGCCAAAAATAATTATTTCCATAAAAGGTGTACCTAAATTAATATTTGAATTCCTATTTTTATCTACTCTTAAAGTTTGAACTTAAAAGTATATCAGCCAATTGGTGTATGTGCAACCACTCATTTATAAATGAAAAAATGACTGAAATGGTTAAAATGATTTTCCATTTAATAACTTCGGTTGTGTCTCTGTCTTTTTATCCGTCCAGTTCTTTCTTTCAATAAAATAATAAGATGGGAAAGAAAGACGGCAAAGTGTCCGTGCAAGGCCCTTTTCGTAGAATAAACATTTATGTGGCAATATTTCTTATAACTTTTCTTCTTATTCTATCCTATATTTCCAATCCTTATGACCAAATACTAGGTAATGAAATCATAGATAATGAAGCAGACAAAACAACAGGAGAACCAGGAAATTATAATATATTATTTGCGATTACCTCTACAGTTGGCGCTATACGTCAAAGGAGTTTATTAAGGGAAGCACTTTTTGGTATAAAGAATAACTTGGAACCATGTATGTTCCAAGATGGTAACGTTTATTATAAGTTCTTAATTGAACCATATAAAAGTGTAGAAAGAGGCAAGTTAAGAGACTTTACTGCAGAAGTTGTTGAATACGATGATATTAAGGAATTTCCAAATCTCAGCGATCAAAAATTTCAAGAAAACATTCTCCAATGGGTAAATTAATCAAAATTTTTATTGTTTTATAAATATATTTTTATACGTATATTTAGCAAACCAAATTTCATTATTTTCTAGGCACAAGATCTCGGAGCTAATAAAGATATTAATTATAATTATCTTGTAATTATTAATGACAAGGCTCTTGTTAATCTTAAAAAACTTCAACAAGTTTTGGAAGAGTCCATTAACGGAAATGTATTGACGCAAACTCAAAAACGTAGACTTGTGTGGGGTTCATTCATGACGGAAGATGCTGATGATATGGCCATCATTCTTGGCCGTGATGCTATTGCTCCCATTCTCAATTCAAAAAATAGCATTAAAATCGTTAACTCAAACTTCACAAATCCGATTACACGAGCTTTCCAATATTACCAAGAATATCCTAATGAGGCCGATTTATATCTTGTGAATGATGAAATCGGAATTGTCGAATTTCCAAATGCCGTAGAGAATGTTTCCATTGAAAAAACTATAGCTGTTGGTCGTGTATACCTAGAAGATGATATGAGGGATTTAGTTGAACATCTTTCAATTCCCAAAACTTTGATTTGTCATCCTCGAAATGACCCAAATAAATTAAATATTGCTGTTATCACTAGCAGTTTCGTTTATGATAATCTTTGTATGCTCCCCGCAGCTCGTATAACAGGTGATAACAAACGTGGTTATGCTCAAAGAAATGGATACTCTTTTGTAGGAAGATCCGCTGAATTTACTCAACAAGTTAGTAAAAAACGTAAAACTGTGTGGGGCAAGTTTGATGCTATTGAAAAAGTTCTTCCGCATTATGACTGGGTATTCTGGCTCGATATGGATACCGTAATAATGAATTATAATGTAACTGTAGAAGGTCTTTTTGAAAAATTTGCTGAAATAGTTGGTGGGTGGGAAGAATTTGAAAAGAAGCACTTAATTGTTGCGAGACCAGTTCACGATGTGATGATTAATGCTGGAGTGTTTATGATGAGAAATTCTCAATGGAGTCGAGATTTTTTGAGAATTGCACAAAATAGAAGAGATCTTTATTTGGGCCATATGTATGAACAACATGCCATGTGGGACCTTATAAGAGAACCAGATTGGGCACCTGGAGTAAGTTGAAATTATAAATTTTGTTTTTAGGTCGAAGATAACAAATGTGTAACTTATATATAATTTTTTTAAATTTTTAAATCGCAGACTTTATGGCTAGACCAAGATGATCGTACTTTTAATACTTTCCCATCTCGATATATACATGGTGATTTCGTTGTACATTATGCTCCCGATGGTTGCCCTGCAAAACCGATCATTGATGCTATAGGTAAAATGAAATTATTGGAAATAGATCCTGAGACGAAAATAACACTTGACCATAAGATGGACCATTAAAGCCGTAATATTTTAATGAAACTTGCGTCGAGCGACACAAAATTTTAAGTAGAAACAACGCAAGTATTTCATTTTCAATCTGATTAGCAAAAGATTTACTGTAACAATAAAAATATATAGATATTTTTGTTTATTTTTAAACTTATAATTTCAAAAAAATAATACAATTAATTGAATAAAATTTTATTATGTAAAATAAAAATTGATCGGTGATTGAATTAGCTACATCAGAACGCGATGAACCAGAGTATATCAAAATGAGTCATTACTTCTAATATATTTCATAGCTGATGATGTAATCTTGCATATAATTTACGTTGTACCTTATTATGTTTCAATATATCATATATGACGCAGCAAAAAAAAAATTGACGAAGCCCGCGTATTATCATTTATCAGTACTACGAGTTCTTACTACGATATTTATGGGTATTAATTAATCAAATTAATCATAAATAAAAATCGCGTCACTTTTATCTAGTCTACAATAGTATCTGCCTTAAATTATAATGAATTAATGTTTTACAGAATTATTACTCTCTACTCTCTAGTATTGTTTTCTTTCGAGAGTGACTAATTATTACACTAATACTGCGCATAATAAGATTTTTTTTTTCTACCGGAATTTGGTAATTTTGATTCCGCTTTGTTTGTTTCACAATTTTTTTATATTTAATTCGATTGATTGATTTTTTTGTAAAAAAATTTTTTTTAGACAGAAAAGTTAACTATTCCAAAATTCAAAGTTTTTTTTCACATAAAAAAGAAAAAATGAACAATTCTTTAGCTAGACTACCCGATTTTCAAAAATTCACAGAGATTTTACCAAATATATATCGAGCAACCTTTAGTCAAAATTATGCAAAACTTTCATATCCGATTAATGTATTCCTCATTCACGTTCCTATGACTGGAGATTGTATCCTGCTTGATACATCAGATCCAACTAACACTAATCAACTTTTGATCGCTCTTTCCGATCATTTCTCTTCATATTCAGATTTTAATTTAAAATACATCGGGTTAACCGATAATAATTATGATCATACGGGTTCTGTATCCAAATTACTAGAAGAATATAACGAAGTTAAAGTGTTACTTGGAGAATCCGGAGATATCAAGAGTTATGATTATTTGTTTAAAAATGTAAAAGAAGAAGTTTTGGATAAGTATCAAATAATTAAACAAGGTAATGAGGATGAATTCGAATATTATAATATTCTTAAACCGATCTTTACACTTGGAAATCCATCAGGTAATAAGAAAATTATATATATATATATATATTTGAAAGAAGGTTCAATGCTAATCGTTCTTAATAATTTTTTTTTTTTTTTTTTTTGAAATAATAGGCTCACTTTCATTTTTGCATATTCCCACGAATTCAATTTTCATTGGAGATATGATTACAAACGTTTCACATATTCCTCTTTCATCGAATCCATCAATTATGTTACCATTAACTTTAACCACAACTCAACTAAATAATATTAAACTAGCTATAAATCAAATTTCTCAACTAGATAATGTCGAACATATATTTCCTTCTCATGATCATAGTTATGGTGGCTTTAATATTGAATTTCTTAGAACGTTTGTTAAAAATTCTTTTTATTCGTGATATCAAAAAATGTGAATAATTAAAAATTTTTAAAAAAGATTTGAATCAATAATATAGATTTTTTAAAAGAAATTTATTTATTTTTTTTTTAAATTTTCAGTTGTAAACATCAATTTGAAGGAGTCTGAATAAATCTGAAATAAAATATAAACTCCCACATAATACAACTAATCCACCTTCTTTGTTACACTTTGTATAAGCATGATAAAGTGCTTCTCTTAAATTTTCAGCAACAAAAGTGTCAATATTTTCTTTCACATCCCTTGCAACTTTTATGATTTCTTTAGGGTCATAACAACTTATCCATGGCATACCTTCCACCTGTGAAAAATCGACAGCTGTTAACAAATCATTATCATTTAATAAAATTTCAAAAATTTCTGTAATATTCTTTCCTTTTGTAGCAGCAAATATCCAATGAATTTTAATTAATTTATTCTCATATTGTTTGTCGATAAATGTTCTTAATGATTTTACAGCTTGTGGATTATGAGCACCATCAATCAAAAGATTAGAAGTTACAGAAAATTCAAGAACATTCGATAATATAGAAGCATCTATCCACTGTAATCTTCCTGGCCACTTAGTTGATTCTATTCCAACAATGATATCTTTATTAGTTATATTTGCAAATTTCTTTTCGGTCTTTCTTAAGAGATCTATAGCAAAAATAGCAGTAGCAGAATTTTCTAATTGAATATCCCCAGGTAGTGGAATATTAATTTTAATATATGTATTATCTAAAAATTTAGTTGAAGCTAATCCTGATCGTTCTTGTTCCCATTTTGCACCATCAACAAGTAAAATTTTTGCACAACCAACTTCTTCAGCACATCTCTTTAATGTATCTAAAGCTTTTTCTTCAATCTGTGGGGCAATAATAACATTTCCATTTTTTTTCATAATTCCAGCTTTTTCTTTTGCAATAGATTCAATATTATCGCCCAAAAAATTTGTATGATCCATTCCTAAAGAAGTAATAATACTTGATAAAACATTATCAAAAACATTTGTCGCGTCTAATCTTCCACCCAATCCAACTTCGACTATAGAAACATCTACTTGTTGTTTATCAAACCAATATAAAGATATAGCTGTTAATATTTCAAATGGACTTGACTCTAAATTATTAGTGGAATTTACATTCGTTATAATTTCACTTGTTTTTAAGAAATCTTCTTTTGATATCGGCAACCCATTTATTCTAATTGAATCGCGAGGTTCAAGCAAATGTGGCGAATTAAACCTTCCAGTTTTATAACCTGATTGTAAAAGAATTGAATCTATATACGCTGATGTTGAACCTTTACCATTAGTACCAGCTATATGAATTACTGAAAGTCGTTTATGTGGATTATTTATTAATTCTAAGAGAGAAAATATTCTTTCTAAGCCCAAGTTAATACCTGTTGACATACTTGAATTATTTTTAAATAGATTTTTTTTTTTTTAAGTAAAAAATAGTTTTAACTGAAAAATATTAGCCGCAAGTTATCGTCGTTCAATTTGCATACCACCAATCACGTTTACGTAAAATTGATCATCATCCAAGCCACCCAAATTTCTAATAAGATGATCAGGTTGATACTTATTACTTTCCCCGATAGAATAAAGTTTAGGAATGCAAAAGAACTTCAGTTCGTTTAACAATAAAACCAAATATCGTAATTTACACGCATACATGTACAGATAAGATGTATAGTATATCGTTTATCTGAGAAAATTTATTGGCTGCAATCGCTCAACAAGAATTAATTGCAGAATCTAATTAATTTAATTATTTCAAATACCAAACAATTCGCAAAAAATTGTTAGATAATATGAAGAGTACGTGATGCACATCTAATCTGTGTTTGTTTTGCGAATACAGAATTTTGTCATAGTGGTGAGTTGATGAAAGCTTTATATGCTTTTTATATTTGTCGAAATTATCGTGAAACTGTTGCGTTAGGTTTTCTTTACAAGTTCTATTGATAACAAAGTCAATAATAAAGTGTAAACCTAAATAGGCATTAACCTGTACGAGTTTACTCTACGATAAAATTAAAATTTTTTTAATTAAATATGAATTTAATTTTGTACATTGTAGTCATGCTTTGATACTGACGTCCTCTTCATGAAAATAAGATATCAGTATATAATTAGGAATTCAAAGCTCTAGAGTTGTTACAATAAAATAATTTAAAAATAGTCTCTGTATGCTTGTGATTATGAAGACTTGGATTGCTGAGAAATGAGAAATACTCGCGAATATCATTTACATATGTTATACAGTAATTCCTTTAGCATCTGCCGGTCTGAAATATAATTGATTGAAACAATAATAGCGTTTACTAATACTGAAAAGAATTAAGAAATTTAATGCAACGTTTAGTATCGTTTTTCGTTAATCATGATCGCTGCCATTATTATAAAGATAGCTCAGATTTTGATGTTGCATTTAATATATGAAAAATAAAAAAAAAGAAAAGAAAATGAGTCACTAAATAGCATTTATCAACAACGAAATGTTTAATGTAAATTTCATCTCCTTTTATGAGCATCTGTTTAGAAAATCAGCAAGAAGCATTTGATTCTTGAAAAAGAAAGCCCAGTAGCAAATGAATAGGGGTATATCATGATAGTTTTCCTCAAAAGTACAAAAATAAAAAAAAAATAAAAAGTATATAATAAGTGACATAAAAATAAATTTTTTATTTGGTTTCTTATAACGAGTGAATTTCATCAGAAAGAACTTGTGATCCAAACCTACAATAAACGTACCGTTAAATTCATTACAACTTAATAAATTAGCATGCTGAATATTAAGAAAGTCATTACGCGTCAATCCTCTTTCTTCTTATTAGGTATCAATTTGATATTTACTTCATGTTTATCGTTATAGTGTTTTTGGAAAATCTTTATAAATATGGCTAAATTAACATTTTATTAACGTGTAATAAATCATGCTAAGTTGCCTAATATGTCTCGTGTGGTAAATTTTTTATCCCTAACGGAAAAATTTCGTCGAAGAAGTCGGAGAACCATTAAAGACTACATACTTTTTTATATCAAAACTTTCTTCGAAAATTAAAAATTTTCACGCTTTAATGTTTCAAGAATGAGTTCATCAAATGAGGACGAACGCATTATATTAAACGTTGGTGGTATCAAGGTAAAAAAAAAAGAAAGAATATTTCACTATGTATATAATAATTACATACGTTTGTGTGTAATATTAAACAATTTAAATAATTCTTCATTAGTATGAAACATACAAATCAACATTAGCGGCTTATCCCAATACGTTTCTTGGAGCGATGTTTCAAGAAAGGAATCAGCAGTTACGTCATCCAACAAATGGAAATGAATATTTCTTTGATCGTAACGGTTATGCATTCCGTTACATTCTCGAATTTTATCGAAATGGAAAACTCTTGTTGCCAGATTTTAAAGATAATGACATTTCAGGACATGGATTAACTAATGTTTCATACAAGGAATTGTTACAAGAAGTTGATTATTTTCAGATCCCAATTGAAGATAATTTGGAAGATTTTCCTTCTAATGAGGAATTGGCCAAAATATTAGATGGATTTATTCAAACATTAAAAAAATGCATTCATCATTTAAAAAGGGAGTTTGTTAAAGGTTTATATCAATTTGTTATAGTTTTTTATGAAGTACCATGCATTAATATTTCAATGGAAGTAATAAATTATTACACAGCTCCCGGTAATAATACTATAATTAAATTATTAAAACCTTATTCAGCTTGTGCTTATAGCATATTAGACCTATATGGAGATAAGATTACTGATAAATTTAATTCTAGAGATGACTTATATATTAGCTTAATTGATTGTAATGTTCCTTCCCCTGCTCATGGTAAAGTAAAAGTCTTACATATCTATCTAGATGCTAGTTTCTTTGATACTGAAAATGTTCTTAAACACTCAAAAGAATTAAATTAGTAGTTTTATTATTTCTTTATTTGTAATTTTCTTGATAATTTTCTTTTAACTTTCTTGAATAAATTCCATTTTTTGTACATACATTGTTATATGATTTATATAATACATTTTTTATTTCGTATATCTAGTGTAAGGAAAATTTCCATATATACTTGTTGACAGTCTATTAGCAGGGCCACAAAATCCAAGATCACTAATAACCCAAGTATTATTAAATTTGAATATAATATATTTCCAGAATGTAAATCTCTACTCTATAATTGAATTTTCTCTGTAAATTCTTTCTATCCATGTAAAATTTAGCAGGCGAAATTGAATTGAGTCCAGCATAATGTGATATATTTTTATAATATATTTATTTTACAAGGACTTTTAAAATACATTCAATGTTCATATAAATATACAAATTTAATTAACTATCTTCTCATTAAAGAAGATTTAGAATAAATATATTGATTATTAAATTGAATAAGAATTGTAATAGTAACAATGAAAATGCTACCCGATCGGCTTATTTTAATTTCGACCGCTTCGTTAAAATCTACCATCAATTTTTTTACAATCTCATTTCCATACCATTCCAATAATTTAACTCCACATGCTTTAAATGGTTTCATAATTTCTTTTATTCTATCGAGATCTAAATCAAACTCAATTGACGATGAATGTTGATTATCTTTTCCCTGATTTAATATTAATCTAGAATGAAAATAAATATTAATTTGTCTTCTTAAATTATGATATATTTCAAAAACTATACTACTTAAAGCCATTACAAATGAATCTAAAAGTTGTACATGTTCTTCAACTGTTGCCCATCTACGTAATCTACCCATTTCAACATTATTATTAGTATTGTTGATATTCGGTGTAGATGAATAAGTTTGAGAGACGGGGTTATGATATTGAGAATTTTGAGAAATATTAGAATGTTGAGAAGTATTAGAATGTTGAGGATATTGAGTATTAGGGTAATGAGATTGAGTACCAGTTGTGACAAGATTTCTACGGTCATCACCAATTGTACTAGGAGGATTATTAATTGATAATGATTCGTTTTTTGAATCATTTAATGTCTTGGAAGGAAAAGATGTGACTGATAGTTCTTTAAATAAATCTCTAATTTCATTTAAATCATATTCTTTATCATCATGATCTTCATTCAATTCATTTGGAATTTTAAAGAATTCAAATTCTAAAACCATTTCTTTAAGACTAACTCCATTACAAAGTCCCGAATCATTTGAAGGTGCCCATAAAATTTGTCCTGTACGATGATACTCTAATATATACCGAAATGCATACCCATTACGATCAAAGAAATATTCATTATCTTTTTTTTGTCGTTTAAAATTTTCGCCAAATATTGTTCCAAGATATGTTTCAGGATATTTAGTAAGCGTCGATCTATTAGTCTCGTACTAATAAAAATTAAATTAAATTAAAAAATAATAAAAACTTGAAAAAAAAAATTTATTTAATAATAAAATACCTTAATTCCTCCAACATTTAAAATAATTCTTTCATCATTTGATCCCATTTTAAATCGTAATTTTTTTTTAAAAAAATTTTATAAGAAAAAAAAGGTTTTATGTTTAATCGGGAGTCCAATTCCGGTTAAATAGCTTTTTATATTGAATTTAATTTCACCAATTTTGGTACAACTTGAAACTTCAATGAACTAACTTATATTGATAATTTGATGACCCGCGAGTCAAGAATTTAATTGGATGAAAATCGTTCGTGTAACATTAGTATTTTTTTTTAGCTAGTTATTGATTGTATTTATCCTTTATATAGTATTTGATTTAATTTCTCTAGAGCATCAAATTGGGATTTTCATACAGTTCGTTAATATTTTTCATGGGTATGATAAAGAAGTTATTAAAGATATAACCAATTTGAAATCAGCAATGAATTATGAAAAATTGTTTCTCATCACCACGGCGCTCCCGCTCCTAAATTTAATGATATAACGTGATGTCTGCGGAAAAAGTATAAGTTCACAGTTAAATCTTGTTATGATCAATTTTAGCGGATGCCACACTCCAAAATCTTTTTATATCGGTAAAATTGAAAATTTATAATAAAATAATTGAATATATTGTCAAATAATATATATAAATATAATAATTATGCGCTAATAGTATTTATTTATAAACTGCTTCCTTAGGCAAAAATATAAATTATATGCGATTTTAGATTACGTGATCGCCAATAATACGGCGCCAGGATTTTTTGTGACATGTATCTAAATGCCGAAATGATAATTCAGAATGTCTAATAGCAATGGGTTCGAATTAAGCAAATAAAATAATCGTATATAGTAAGACAAAAAAAGCTTTCTAAGGTTTAATTCGAAAAAATTGATTTTCATTTCTCATTCTTGGAATTTTCATTTGTTTTGATACGCTTTCCTATATTCAAATAAAAATTTTAGCATAAATAATTAAAGTTTTCTGTTATCCAGACAAAATTTACCATTGTTTTGAGGAATAATATTTAATTCTTCAATATTACGTTTTCTTATAGCTAGACTACTAGAGCTCTTTCTCACAAAAATTACATTTGATGAAGAAGGTCTATAATATAAAAATTAAATGTAAATTAATAAAAAATTATTATAATTGATCTATAATATAATTATTTATATAATATACCTTTGAACATCATTTATATCAAAATCGTATTCTTTTGAAGCGTATTCTGAAATAAAAATAAATTAATATAAAGCAATAATTTCTTTGATATTTATTTAAGTTCACCTTCATTATCTTCATTATTCAATTTCTCGTCCAATTTTTCTGTTTAAACAAAATATTATAGTTATATTCTTTTTTTTTTAAAAAAAAAATTTAGAATAGATTAAATAAATAATTATATACTTGATGATTTAATAATTAAGGATCTTAGTGGTCTACTAGCACCCGGATGTTGAGTATTTGAAGAATTCTGGATTGCGAAATTTTTACCGTGTGAAGATGAACTAGAGTATTATTTTAAACAAAAATACATTAATATTAAATATTTTAAATATTTTCCATACAGCATTATAATTAATACTTTATACCTTTGAATATCATTTATATCAAGATCATATTCTTTTGAAGTGTATTCTATTAAGATTTAAGATCATAAACTGTTAATAAATGCCTATAATAAATAGGGCGTATGTATATATAGTAATGGTGACAAGTAATAGAAAATGACGGAAGGACGTGACGCATTATAATAATTAACATCTTAATCCTAACCTAACCAAAAAACTCTGACGTTTGATAAATAATTTCAATGAAAATTGGTACATACCTGGATTAACATTAATCGAAAGTTTATTAATAGATAAAGATTTAGAAATTTTTAATGGCCTACTTATATAAATTGCTTTTGAATGAGGTTTTTCAGTAAATTTTGGTCCTAGTTTCTTAGATTTTATTAATTTCAATCGGTTTTCTTCAGCTTGATGGAATTGTTCACTGAATTCTACAGGTTCATATTCTCTACAAGAGGATTTAAATTTACTTATAGTATCTGATATATCCGATATGTAAGGTCTTTTTGATGGATCGGGATCCCAACACCTTTTCATTAAGTTTGCAAAACATTCAGGTGTATCATTTGTAATTTCGGGTCGTTTTCCATCAATAATCTTAAAAATAAGAGAAATGTCGTGTTCAACATTAGCAAAAGGTTTGCATCCTGTTGTAAGTTCCCACATAATCATGCCAAGACTATAAATATCAGATGCTTTTGAAAATTTTGCACCATTGAATATTTCAGGTGCAATATAAGGTATTACTCCATATATTTCATTATTTTTTGAAGGATCGTTTTCAGATTGTGATAATCCAAAATCTCCAATTTTCCAAAAATTATGAACAGCATTATGTTTAAGTCTGAGAAAAGTTCAAAAATGATGATCCCTTTACTTCCACAAGTCTTTTATAAAATTCATTTAGAAATTTATGCAAAGTTATTAAGTACCTGAAATCATAAATAGTATTAATATTTCGAAAGAGTAATATATTTCCACTATGAAGATCTCGATGTATAAAGTTGATTTTATGAATAACTTTAAGTCTGATGAAAAAAAAAAAATATTATTACTATAACTATAACAATGAATAATAAACATAATATTGTGTTATACCCTTCTGAGATTTGACATAAAATAGTTAATTTTCGTTTCCATGTGATATATTGAAAATTATTTTGTAAGTAGTTATGTAAATCTCCCTCATTAGCATAATCCATCACTAACATGTATTCATTTGTTATAGGATCTTTCGTAATACCATGACATTTAATAATAAAACGATAATCTTTGCATAATTGATAATATGATTTTAACTAAAAAATTTTTGAAATTTAAAAGATTAACAACAAAAAAAAAACGAGTTATAATTATGTTAATGTATTTACCTCACTTAAAAAAGATTTAGTAATACTTTTTGAGCTTAGGAATTTTTTTACGGCAACTGTTATTTTTGCATCTTCATATTCCAATAAAGTTGCTTGATAAATGATACCAAAACCACCTTGCGCTATTTCCTTGATAATTTTAATGTTCGAGTATGAAATCCATTTTAGCGAAGAAACAGGATCATTAAGATAATAACGGTACAAAGATACCGAATTTAACGAAACAGTAATATTAGGCTTTAGATTAATAAGAAGCTCACTATCTAAATCATTATTGCCACTGATGATATTTGTGATATCAATAGTAATAAATATTATTCTATTGCATTTCTTACATTGAGATTTTTGCGTAAATCCAAAAATAATATTTGTTGTCAAACAATGTCTACATCCAGTATATATTATATTGCAAAATGAACACCATTTTTGACAATCAAATATAAACGTAAGGTTTTTCAAACAAACTATACACCGACTATGAGTATTCCACCACGGTAAATGAAGAATTTGAATGGACGATTTAGTCAAGGTTGATTCTATCAATTCAGAAGAAACTATATAACAATTTGAACAAGACTCAAACTCGATAAATTCTAAATCCTGATAATTTAATTTCCCACATAATCCGCAGTTTTTTTTAATATCAAACTTTACATTATGATGAGAATTAGTTGCGATTACTTGTTTAAAACATGTGATTTTAAAGTAAAGAACGCATTCTGTACAAAGACATGAAGCATAATGATCAGTATTATTATTAGTTATTAGTACGTCCAAGTATTTATGATCATTATCAACATAATTAATATATTGGAATAAGCATGTTTCACAGTATTTTTGTTTAAATAAAAGTGTTTCAGTATACGGATTTTTACAATAAAAACAATTATCATCGTTTTCATTAAAAGAAATAAATTTAATTGGAATAGGACTAGATTTTAATTTTGGCGTTGGATCAAAAGAATTATCATATTTTGTTATAGATTTTATTGTGTATTCGCCGTATTTTTTTTCTATAAGTTCCATTATAATTATGCTATATTTTTTTTTTGAAAACTACGACTGACAATATTTATAGATGTCTGGCTTTGTAGATCAATCATAAGAGTAAAACGAGCAACACGTGAGATTACTATATTCATCAAATTTGTGTCACCCGCTGCGCCACAAACATGGCACAATACGACTAAATTTGGTTTTAACACAATGAATCAAATCTTGGAATTCTTATTTTATAATCTCAGAATTTTTTTTTTTTCTTTTTTCTTTCGGCTTAGTCCGCTAGAGTCAGGTGAACGGAATGATTGCATGGAATGTTTCCATGGTAAATTCCTGAATTATTTTTATTGGTTCCATGATTTTTCCGTAAATGTTAGTAGATTCGTGGAATATTTATAGAAAATATCGAACCGGTTTTATGTTGGTCTGATCGATTCAAATAATTAATGTAATTCTTACAAACAAAACACAATCTCTATTTTTTACCGGGTCAATCCTTGTTGCGCATTTTATCCAAATGGCTAAAGAATTGGTTATTTGATGTAATAATTTTTATTAGTGTATTTATTATAATTACGATTGTGTGCAAGAACACAAGAAGTCCGTTCTAGTTGGTATATTAAAAAAATTAATTTAGTCAGATCTAAGTTTAATCCCGGTCAAGTTTTATACGTCATAATGTATGCTATATAACTCGCCAACATAATAGAGATAATTATAATAATACACATATCAAGATATCAAATTTTTTAATATTAAATACTCAATTTTTTATATTTTTTAATTATTTTCACAATCCCTAAAGATAATTTCCTCAATTGATTGACTTGAAAGATAACAAATTTTAATCTAAATATTAACAAATTATTAAAATTTTAATATTATTAAATCATCATTCGTTAATATTGAAGAAATCTTTTTAAGATTTTGGACAAAGTTTAGATATCGATAAATCTAATGAATTATGAATACTATCTATGTGAAAAATTATTAAACAATGGTGATTCAAAGTAGGCGTTGAAATAAATATTCCATTCTTATTTAAAAAGGTCTTGATCAAGAAAACAAAGTAATAATAATTGCCAATGGTATATGAGTAGCTACAGTAGCATTTATATAAAATTTTTTGTATTCACATTTTAATCCCATTTACGACACTTATCAATTGTATCGATGCAATATATGAATATTTTGAAGAAGATTATCTCACTTTACATTCATGCTTATTTGTGAATCGTCTTTGGTGTGAAATAACGGTTAGAGAAATGTTTGGAATCTTAAATACAGTAGAAGTCATAATTCAGGGCGTCCTTAACGTACAGTGGGGGGTGTACGTTACATCCTACGGAGTTATGCACTTGCACGTGATAGCGTTGACGTTAACTCCGGCCCGTTCGTAACGTTAATATCGTCATATGGCTCACTTGATGATCGACATCAAGTGAGTCAAATCCGCCCATATGTACACCCCCATAATTCATACCGAACACATGACCGCATACAGTAAATCATGGCCAAAATTAGTATAGACTTCGGAACGAAATCAACCGATTTTTCTAACAGTAACGTCATTCTATTTGTTAACATCGAATTGCTCAAAAACCTGTTTCTTTTTATAGTTTATAATTGTATATATACTCGAGAAAAAATTTAATATTAGCATTTATTTTTTTTAAAAAAAAAAAGTTTTCTGTAATTTTATTTAAGTAAATATGTTTTAACTAAAGAAAGAATATAAATGAAAGGATGATATGAATGAATGATAATTTTTCGCCGGCGGCATTGATCCGGTGAAAGATATGAAAAGATAGAAATTCTTAACAATGCCTTTTTACCATATTCAGGTTGTGTGGAAATCGACAATCGAGAAACCTGACTGACCGACGAAAACCTGTTTTCCAACAACAAATTAAAAATTAAGAATTTCTACATCTATACTCCTCAATAACTAATTAAATCTATATATAATTACAATAATTTCTTATATCTATTAAGTCTATTATAAATACTTTAAAATCTATACGATAAAATTGTATAATTGTAAAATTGTAAAATTGAATTAACAATTTACAATTATAAAATTGTAAAATTGTAAAATTGTAAAATTGAATTAACAATTTACAATTATAAAATTGTACAATTGTAAAATTGTAAAATTGAATTAACAATTTACAAATTTTACAATTGTAACAATTAATTAATAACAGTTCCTTCTTCATTAATAATGAAAGAGAATTCACTATAAACTAGAATAAATTTAAAATATATTATTAATTTATTATTTTTTTTTTTATTTTTTTTAAGCATATATATATTAATAGAAATTTAGTTTGAAAAATTACCTTTATTTGAATATTCAATAATTAAGAAAGTAGAACCTTGTTTCTTTATAATCGGAATAGAAAATATATATTATAGTATTTATTGAGAAATTTATAATTTTTAAAGGAATATATTGTTTTGATAATTTGTTTGAATAATTAATTATAATTGACAAGAAAATAAAATAATCTTTAAACGAAGAAAAATTTTGGGTGATTTTATAACCATTTTTCCCAAAAAAAATTTCGCAGTTTTTTATTAAATCAAGTTTTAATACAGGTTTTCCCATTCTTTCCTCATTTTAATGGAAATTCTCACACTTAGGAGTGCTTACGAAATTTTTGTGACAATAATTATTAATTTGATTGTGCTTGCATACAATAACAGGATTTTAAACAAGTTTTCTTATAAAATGAACGCGAAAGAAAATTATTCAGAGGAAATATAAATAAATTTAATTTGGTTCCCTTTTAAAAATGGGTTAACGAAACTTTTAAATAAATAAAAAAAGGGGGGATGAAATGTAAATTATTTTATCAAAAAAAAAAAGAAGGTTCTCAAAATCTTAAAATATTTCTAAAATGAAGAGACAAAAACCTTTGGACCTAATTTGTATCATAATAACCATATTTGTACCACCTTATCTTTGAGGGATTTCATTGTATAGAATATTAGACGCTAAACATAAATAATATAACTTAATTATTAATTTGTCCAATTTCCGTGATTATCAACTATTTTGATATCATATGCGTTATCTAATCTAAATATCATTACGCTATTTACCAGTTCAATGGTAGTTTTTTCATTCATACTTTCTCCGATAAGTGGTTTCTTTTTTACTATTATTAGTCTTTTTTTTTTTACGTAAGTGCATAAAATATTTATACGGAGAAAGTAATTTACGGAAAAGTAATATTCCAAAAATAGAATCTTATCATAGTATAAATCTAAACATCTATAGTCTTTTATTTTTCTTTATGAACATCTGTTTTGAAAGTTATTGTTTACGAATTAGGCATGTAGATCAAATCACGTTTGGCTGTATATCAACCTGAAAATAAATCTAAAAAATCATGGGCGTTAAACAAATTAAGGTTAATTCAACCTTTTAAAATAATATAAATAAAATAAACATACCTTCCCCCTCTTATTTTTTTTAAAATTAAAATTTTCGGTCCTGCGCATTTTTACATAATTTCATAATCATCTGCATATCAAACTTTAAAACTGGAAAGGATTACCGCCAGTTGCACGAGATAGTCTCCGAAAAAAAAAAGTCTTATAAAGCCAAATAACCAGATTTGTAGTTGATTGAGTTGTTGCTGTAAGTTCCGTATGTCATTGAACAAGGTCGAATGCTCAAGGAATGGGCTAAGGGACTGTGGGCGTTATTTTTTTTTTGAACTACATTACCCCGAGATCAACTGACCATAACTATTGCTCAAAACTTAAGTAGGTTCTTTCGTTTCAAATGTACAAATTATATGTATCTATAAGTCCTTAATGCGTTGAAATCCAAATTCTAATCCTTATTCAAACAATTTAATAATCAATGAATCAATTTTTAGGTATTCCATCATGATTACGTATGATTTGTTCCAAAAAGGACACTCAAAGACATTTGTGAATTAACAGATGATTTTAATACTTTGAAAGATTAACTTTTGATTAGAGACTTGAGCGTTGGCAATATTCCTGTTCTTGGATATGTTTCTCGTAAAATAATTTTATCTTACGTTCCCGAAAATCAAAAAATTCATCTACTAGGTATATTGGTATATTAAATCCATTAACTTTTAATATTTTACAATTTTAACGTCAAAATTTTGATGCCCCATCACTCACCACAGAATTTTTATATGATTCTTTAGGATATTCTTTGATTTTCATAATTATATACAAACCAGGAATATATTCTTTTAGATGAATTATTCTAGGAAAATGTTTTCCAGGTTCTGATAAAATTTATAATGAAATTATAAGACACACTTCAGAGGAATTCTCAACTGCGTAATAAATTATAAATCAATTCAATATCACGAGTTTATTGAAGTATATTCTGTATAATCTTTTTACGAAGATGGATTAAGAGGTAAATTTAAAAAAATAATGGTTTTAACTTTTTAACCCTATATTCTAAAATCTTTATCTTTTATTGTAGGTAACGACTGAACTTTTATAAACCTAAATCAAAGACTTCAAATTGTCGCACAAGAATTTGCTTGATTCTAAACTTACTTAATATCATGAATCAATATTCAAGACCGTCTTAATATCATTAATCGAAATATTCAAAATACTCAACGAATTTTCAAGGTTGTAATATTTAATTTATGCAAATTTAGTCAACTATCATCTATTCATTATTTTAGTAACCATTATAATAATACTATTATAGGAAGATAGTAGTACAATTACCTATGATAATCGGCTGCGTCGAATTCGTCGAATTTGGATATTCATTTGACACTTTTTAGTAATACTGTATCTTTTCAACTTTAAGATTTGAAATATGGTGAAGTTGTAATGTCGATATAAAAGAGGATTATCTATTGTTCGTCACAAAGCAGATTGTCTCTTCGCAATTTTCCATCAATTATAAAGGATCTTGGTAAACTTTTGAAAAGGGTAAGTTATTTCTTTTTATGTTGTTACTTTGTTTTGCATTATGTAATAATTTCCTAAATATACGATGAATTTGATATTTTTTATTATGCGTTAGTCAAATCTTTAAATACGTCACTGGAGGCTTTTGATTTATTGTATGTACGCTACATATTTTGACTCACAAATTTTGGCTATTTATTGTTTCATCAATCATGATAAATCAATAATGTATCTCATTCCTTTTTTTCTATTTTCCTTCAAAATTGGTAACATATTTTATACTCAACAGCTATGAAATCTTTATTTAGATGTCAGGTATTTTCGCATGAATTACTGTTCCGCGCGCGTTTATTTTTCACTTTATATCGTAAATTTAGCACTTTGATTAAACGAATCAGGATTTGAAAACTAATTAACAGGTATGGAACTATTCAGATGTCAATTTTCATTAAGCTATATTGGATATTTACAGAGATATAAATATTTTTTTGTAATAATCTTTTTTTTTTCACTTTACAGCGTAATTTCAACATATTGTTTAAATAAAACAGGTCTGAAAAGACTAAGAAAGTTGTGCTGCAGGAATGGAATAGTTTTAATATTAAATTTTCATTAAACTGGCTTGAATATTGGGAAAGTTGTGGCATTTTTTTTTATGAAATTACTGTGCCATGTCATTAATTTTTCACTTCATCAATGTTATTACTAAATGAATATAGATCTGATCAGCAAATATCAAATTGATGAAATCATGATTACTTTTGTAATGTAATTATCCATAGTTACATCGTTGATTGATATAGGGTAATAATCAAAGGGTTAATGTGCATTTTTTTGTAATTTATATTTTGTTTTTATTTTCAACATAATTTTCAACATAATTTTATTTACAATAAAAATCACAATTGAATTTTTTTGATTTTAATATACTATCCTACCAAAAGTTTCTACATTTTATGTGTTGCACCTACGATAGTTTCTCCATATCCCCTATATGAGCTATGTTCATTGCCATAGATAAAAAATTCTACGGGTTTCTACTTTGTAGTCCCGCCTAGACATGCTGTTGTTTTGTTTAGTTTCACTGAAGAGATTCGCCTAAAGGTGTCAAAGACAAATGGACAAAACAATCATAATGGAAAAAAAACATGCACGAAAAGCTTTCGGGTTATTGATGGCAACTGATCCATACTGCTATGGGACGAAAACTTTCAATTATATCACAAGTATCTACTGTCTCGCATGATAACAACTCTGATCGAGGGTACTGAACTTCATTACCGTTTTTTCCGAACAAAGAAATAAAAACAATATTACCACATGATTTCTAAACGCCCATGGGACTTCTAATATGTAAAAAATATGCTCATTGTTATCTGACAAACTATTTTAACTACATATTGTCCGCTGTGATGAATGTGATCTGTGTTTTATGAGTTACTACTGCGAGTTGAATATTAGTGGACAACTGTTACCTACTGCGAAAACACATGATACTTTACACTGATCGTGGGCTTTGCCCAGCCAAGGGGCTCTTGCCCTACTCTCTGGGAAAATTATCACATTAGATGTTTCGTGACCAACGATGTAACTACTCAAGTATACTGAGCCTTAGAACCGACTTATCTATTCTATATAGGTTTGTATGAAATGATATCAGTGCTAGATTTGTGTAGCGAATCCTTTCAGATTTTCATTTCGTTACACAATCCTGCTACGACTGCGTTAAAATTTCTATTTCCGGATAGTTTTATTCAATTACGATAAGAATGTGATGTAATAAGGAGTTCCATATAGAAAAAAATAAAAATGTTGCGGACTGAGTACTTGCTCTGCATCCTCTTTAGTTTTAGTAATCGCAAACAATAGTCAAAACTTTAAGTAGAACTGCATTTAGTTTCGATTACCTAGAACAGACTCTGTAAATACAATATGTAACAGGGGGGAGCTTTGCAATTTCCGACAATAACACGAGGCTGTCAATTTTATTTTAGCAAGTAGCGATGCAAAAGATTTTTCTATAATTCATACCCAATAATAAACTACTAACAGATAAACGTAAATTAATTCCGTCAGCATTATTTTTTCTCTGTTAATCTCGTACACTAACATATAGAACATCACTTAGTAGATATGAAATTTACTCTGTAAAAGTGTTGAATATACTAGTCTCTTAGCTCAAATGTCAACCGTATAATAAACTACCATGCGCTATTGGTATTTCAAATATGTGGTCCTATTATTGTATAATCTGTATATTGTTCTTTTAGCAAACGTTATTAACAAAAATAAGAAACGTATTCCGCTTGCTATTTAACTACACTAGTGAATAGTGATCCACATGAATGAAAAAAGGTTCAGACGGGGATATAATGATATTTTTTGTAATTAATGAGACTAATACCGTATATGGAGTATATCTAACTATCTCCACTCTCGAGTGCGATGATGTACAGGAAGAATATATTCTATCTGGTCACAAGGTATTTATATTTTATGCATCCGTACTATTATTGTATTTTATTATATTTAGTTAGTGGACTGGTGAGTGGTGACATCGGATAATTGAAATCTGATGGGTAACATACGAATAATTAGTGCATGGGAGGCGATTATTCGAAAAAATTTTTTGGTCATATCATTATTGAACGTATTATCTGATCACGGAAAGAATACCCATGTAATTATAATTATAATTTTTTATAGGATTAATAGGACCCCGGACAATTATAACAATTATAATAAAGGTCATATACAAAAAAATATATTTTTTTGAATTTTTAATGAAAAGGTCATATGCAAAAGCGGGTATTTTAAAGCATAAGTCATATGCAAAAATAGAGTACCCCTGAATTAGGTCACAGTAAAAAAAGTATAGAATTTTATGTAAAATTTTTAGGTCACATGTAATTTGCGTATATTTTAGGGGGAATTACTTGAGATAATTTTACCATAATAAATTTTATTATTTTTTTACCACAATGTAATAATTATCTAAATTTATTAAATTTATTTGCTTGTCATGTCAGATAAATTTACCGAAAATTCAACATGATTTACCGTTAATTACTTTTAAAATGTTAAGACACGCGTTTTCGTGTTTTAATTTTTGTCTTTAACATCAATGCAAAATGATATATCAAGAAACTTTTAGACATTAATAGGTTTCTTTCTACAATTCCACCTCCTAATATTCATTCTGTTCAAGCTTATGTTTCAAATAATATATCTGATATCTTTTCTATTACTTTTGATACTCCTTATGCTCCGTTAGCCAGAATTGATAATACTGCTGAAAAATCCTTCTTTGCAATATTCACACTTAACTTCTGCAGCTGTCTTTTCTAATGGGGATTGTTTACTAAATTCGATATCTTTAATCTTTAATGCAAACCAAACCTTAGAATTACAATTTTGATTGTAGAATCAATGAAATTTTCGGATTTTTATCTTGGTCAAAAAATTTTTGAAGAAGATTATTATTTTTCCAATGTGGCTTTGGATTCAGCTAAAAATTAACTATATATAATAAAGAAAGAGATTATATTGGCGAAATTGCTTATATGTTTAAACCAGATGATAATGCTGTATAATTTTAATATAAAATAAAAAATTTTGACCTATTTTTTTTAGTAAAAAAATTATATCGAAGTCATATGATAAAAAAGGATATTTATAGTACAAAATAAGGTCATATGATAAAAATGTATGCAAAATTTATGTATATTCCATTAGATTTTTAATTAGTACTGCGGATGTGACCTCTATTATAATTATCCGGGTCCTAGATTAATAGTGTAGAGGTTGGACGCTATAATCGCATATACGATCACAGTCGAAGAGGTTATCGATAAGGAAGTTCTTTGTTTATTTCGTAATGTAAAGAAAATAGCCTCTACCATGACATAATCTTTATTGGTGAAGTGCAATAATTACTATGTCATCAGTAAATAACGATAACAAAGATAGTAATACGCCACGATTAATCGAATTATTGGGAATTGTGTAACCCAGTGCACCTTCTTGATCGTCATCCTAAGTTAATTGCACTTTAGAGTTGTTGCGAAAAGAATTAGTTTCATAGGTATAAACATCTCTAGTTGATTGTCCAGATATGATCACGGTGAAGAGATTATCAATAATTTAAGTATTCTGCGCCAGTATACAATTAAAACAAAAGTCTAATTGTCCCATACCAAGGGGTATATTTACATAATCTAACTAATCTAACTTTAAATGGCAGTTGAGTATAATTTTAAGATTAGTAAAATAGATGTGACTCACGCTATTAATCAAGTTTAAACGCTCTTTCTTGGTGTTTTAAATTACAAGAGCCATGATTGATAGATTATTTTGTGATACCATTCATGTACAGTATCTTATATATATATATATATATATGTATTCATATAATACAACTGCCTGATTTTATATTAGTTTTCAAAAGACAAAGAAAATATACTCAACAAATTTTTTTATGTAGGACTCAAAAAACTGTAACGCCATTCGGGACCAAGGGAATTATGGTAAGAACACCTTTTTGTCGACCAATTCTAATGATAACGATTTGGGACGTAGTGTGTCTATTGTGGGCACACTATATAATGAAGAAGATGAGTTCACGAGAGATGAGTTATCAAAACAAGCTGTTATACCTTGCCAAAATGCAATATTTCCTGGTCGACAAAATCATTATGATGGAATTGAATGTTCTAAACCGTCCATCAACAGTGAATTTGATGATTTCGGTGGAAAAAGAGAAGATAATACGAATCATGTTCGGAGCGTCGGTTCGCAGTGGGGAACTAACGTCAATAACAACACTCACCAACCTGGATATAGCGACGGAAAGGGTAAAGGCAATACCGGCACTCGAACAGTGCTCTCAGAATCCTCAAAGAAGATCCAGTTTCTGTACGAACAATTGGGGCCATTGCTCCGAGTCAATACCCCTGGGGGCAATGCACGGTACAAGAAAAAGACCTGCAACCTTGTACTGCCGAACGATCTACCTAAAATTTGGAGCAATGAGTGTGATACCTCCTTGTGCCAAGTGTTCCCAAGTGATGAGTTCGATGATGGACATGGGTATCGTAACAATTTACCAATTACAATCGATACAATTATGAAGCCTAACCGTTGCTATATTGCAAATTCACTTGGTTATAAGATCTACGATAAAGATCAAGAAGATTATATCAAGTATATAAAAGAAGAACTTAACTGTTACATTGAGGAAGTTATGGAATATGGATTCGATCATATCATAATAATTGGGCAACAAAACTGCGGAATACTTTTCCTGGACTGCTTCGGCCGCGTGTTTAATTTGGACGGTATGTCAAGTACATTAGTGTTTCATGGGGATTACTTAGAAGGAGTGGAAAGAGTGACAAAGGGATTTGAGCTTAAATGGATGCGATGGATCATAGAATCTGATACAGGGAATATTGTTGTAGCTGCTGAACCTGTTGAAGCTGATTATGGTATGAATAAATTGCTCATTTTAAAAATTATTATTTTTTATAACTATTTATTTTCTCTCAGGTCCCATGCATTCTTAAGAGAAAAAAAAGAAGAGTTCAAAAAAGAAGAGTTCAAGAAAGAAGCGTTCAAGAAAGTAAATTCACTGATTTAGTTTTATGCTTGCTATTAGGTGGAAATTATTCAGTAAAGTAAACTCTTATTGTTAATTGATGGAGATAACTGATTGATAATTAGTTTGATTCTGAAGCACACTGCTTAGTTACTTAATACAAAAAAATAAAATGCATTGTGAAATATTCATTTTATCTGTGAAAATATTAACATATATTCTACATATTGTTTTTTCCGCATCGTTTATTTCGAGGTTAAGCGTGGAGGATATTGACTATGTTATAGCTAAAGTTTTGAAATCGAATCAATGCCTCCCTTGAAGCATTAGCTCCTGCGGGAGATAATCCAGTTGTTTTAGCGAAAAATTCCCTGGAACCAAGGAAATAATGAAAACTTTCACTCGAAAAATTTATTTTTGAGAGGTTTTGATGTACTGTACATCAAATTTTTATTCTAATTAACATATTAATGAAAACATATATATGTATCAGAACGATGCGATTGCGTGATCTTTGCCCTGTAAATCTTCGTTAACATTGTTTTCTAATTATTACTTTGCGGTGCCCCGTTACACACTTTTGATGGATAAATCACTCAGAGATCATAGGCAACACATCTAATAAAATCGTTTATGCAATCATAGTTCCTATTTTACTTATTCCTATTCTTTCAATAATATATTGTTTCCGTACATATAATAAACCGCTCTCTGTCGTTGATCCAATTTTTTACTACACCACACAAGACAAAAATCGTTATCCATTAATAATCCAATATTTTATTAACCGTACCACAATCGTAATAGAACAACGCAAATAAGATAATTTGCTTCCTATTACATTGATCTAAAAATTCGTTATAAGTATTTACGCCCTTCGAGCAGTCTCCTACTGATTGCAAACTAATGATTATACACGAGAGCTACACTTAGTTATCGGACTATATCTGGGTAATGATATGATTTCTAAGAAGGATTTACCTCGTAACCTAAATGTTCTATAGACTACTCTACTCCTTGCTATGCTATGATAGCGCATGTCTTGTGTAACAACTAGCGATATTGTTCCAGAATCACTTGCATCATCAAGAATAAGAATTCGAATTTCGAACAATGACAGAGAAGTTCGTCGATTATATGCTTACTAGCTATTGACAACAAATGAATCCAAGATAATAGTGTTGACATTGTTATTTGATCGTTACTACCCGATTTCGATTAGCTATCAACAATTAATGTAAATCCAACTCCGCAAGTTTACCAAAACACGTACCTATTTGTGATATTGATTGCAGTCGAACACTATGAAGTGGTAATTCTTTTTCTAAAATTCCAAGGCAATATGTGAAAAAATAGATCCTCTTTCTTATATCCCCACAATTTTTAATGACCAATTTCTCTCCAGTAATTAACTACCCCCTTCTTATTGTGTTGTAAGTCCTATTGGCATACTTAAAATAAATAGAAGATACACACATTTTCGAATCCCCGTTTGTAAAGTGAGTTACAATAACTTTCTTGTTATAACATGTCCCTCACAGTGCCCCCTTTGACACTGCCTTTTCTTCGAAAAGTCCATTGTACACAAGTAAGAATACTAGTGTCCAACCAGATAAATAACAGGAATGCCTGAAGGGCATTATTTCATAATGTAAGCAAGACAGATATTATAATTAATACACTTACATATTTTTTTAATCGCATACCTCGTTAACCGAATATTGCTGTGTGTAGGCCATAATTTCTAACTCGGTTGGTCTTTCAATCTACTGTACTTATTTAAAATTATTTCTGCGTATTACACAATTCCAGAGAAAGCACTCTTCTAGTTCACGGTTACAAATTCTTATATAGGCTGCAAAAAAAATATAACAGATTTCGTCCTACGTGATACATGCGCAGCTATATCAAAATGAAATATCACAGTCTCGTTGTTGGATCACGAAATAGGTAACTGTTATACCATACCATGAAATGAATTTATTACAATACATATATGGTTAATACGCATCTCGCTTTTTCATCAATCATTTAGCATATATTTTTCCATCAAATAAGGTACTCTCCATACGTACTCATTGTTGACACGAGTGTGTATAACACGCCACTGGACAAAAAATCACGTTATAAGAATATTTTAAACGATCAAAAACAAAGACTGGCGTATGTGATAAGATGCAAACGTTATTTATTAACAAAAAAAAGGTAAATACAAATCTTATTGCAGAGGCATTTAAACTCTCATTTGCAATCTTCGAATCATGACTCTGATAATATCAGTCATGGTAATATCATTTCACATAGACATATGAAGAAGCTGCCAGTCCTTGAATTTTTTCTAATAAAATCTCTATCACTATTTTTTCACCAGATCCTTCAAATCAGAGAAACTCCATTCATTAATGCGGATATGAAAGCGGACATTATCAATGGCACCCGAAGATGGCCGAGACTAGATTTATATCACAATGATGATGTGAGGTTAATGGATTAGAACTAAATATGTAAAAAAATGAAATTTGAACTTACCCCTCCATTACATGCCCTTAGAAGGTCAGTTTCATTAGTACAATTAAGAAATTCATCAGTTAATATAATTTTACATCTTAGAATCTTTTTTTCATCTGTAATCACAGCTTCACCGACTTCTTCATCTTGATAAAAGACTTTATCACCATTTTTTATTTGAAATTTTCCTTTAGGAGTTTTGATTCTATCGAATAACCGGTTTAATAAATGTCCTGTTAAAAGTAGAATGCTCGTTATTAATTTTTATCTGACAACTAAAATAAAAGGTAGTACCTCTTCTAGTTTTCTGAACCTCAGATTGCACATTATTTATAACATCATTAGAATTTTTATGGTCCCCTGAACATGTTAAACAATATCTTGAGAAGCACATTAACAGTTCAAAATATAACGACGAGTAAGGTTGCTTGCCAAAACCTAGGGGTTTAGGCAAGTTGGCGTTTCGCCAAAAAGCGAAATTCTGCTGAAACTATATTAAAGTTATATTAAAAAACTGGCGAAACTTTGGAGAAAGGCGAAACTGCTGAAACTTATTATAAATGCTGAAACTGCCGAAACTCTACCGAAACTATAATAAATCTATAGTAAAATTTTGATGAAACTAATCATAGGATTTTGAAGAGGTTTAGACAAGCAACCTTAACGACGAGGACATAAAAAAATTTACGATCAAGAAATTGATGGAAAATCTTTTCTCTTGTTAACTAAAATGGAGCTTATTAGCGAATCGCCTAAAATAAAAGTAGGACATGTAACGGGTATTATGAAATTAGTGGAAAAACTCAAAGAAACACAAGGTTAGCACTTATTAAAATGGCTTTCATTACACTGAACTGACTGTAATTTAAATTACTTTTTTTAGTGGATTCCACCTTCTCATCTGTTGAAGTAGTGACGGCTCAGAATTTTTAAAATTCTGTGAAAGAAATACGGAAGAAATAGAGAAAATAAAAGAAACAATAAAAACAATTAACACAAAGATCATTGGTCTCCTTTCTGAAGTTGAACGAATTAGTTCCAGTATGAGTGGAGTTTGTAAGGCTTTGCATCAAAAACGTATACTTAATAATTAATATTTTTTAACAGGTATTTTCTTCATGTTTTACATTGTGATTGTATTTTATTTTCATATATGATATACAGTCAGACCTCTATAATTGCTCTCTCCATAATTGCATCCACTATGTATACCCTCTCTAAATGCACCTTCTGGTGCTTATATGATCTCTAATTATTTTACTTCTATAAATGCACACCCTCTTTAAATGCACTATTTTGAAAATTATGCATATGGTCCTAAGGGGTGTGCAATTATGGAGGTCTGACTGTAATAAAATATTGATCTTTATTATTAATTCAAATACGTTTAACAGTTTTATATAAAGTTCTTGAAGGATACTAGTTCACTTTTATTTTTTATTTTTTTCATAACAAAAATAAAATAAATCATGTTCTACGTGATATATGCACAATGAAATGAAGCAAGTGTGACTCAGGAGTCACGGTCTTATCATTGGAAAAGCCAAATTAAGATAGTTTATCGATCCTTATCTATCATATCAAGAATACAAATAATCATAGTATGTCTTTATCAACGAGTAAAAAATTGTTCATTTACTATCACCTTTGACAAAAATTTTGATCGAAAAGATAATCCTATGATCATAGAATAATGCAGATATATCAGACGCAATATATAATATTAAATTCTTAAGATAATATCGAGCACCAATAAATATAATTATTATTAGGAAACTAGATAGGTTAATTAAAGTTCTTCAAAATATACAAAAATATTCACATGTTACTATTATTACCTTTTTCATGCGCATTTATTATACCCTGTAAAATATACTAAACTTCCACTTGAGAAGCTCACAGATGATTTATGTTACAAAAAAAATGGGTTTGGATATTACTTTTGACAGGCAACTCTACAAGTGGGGAGAAGTGATTGTTATTGTTTATTGGTTTAGAATTGGTCAGTCTTTATATTATTTTATAAAGACCTTCATCAGATTAATAGATTTATTCAATATAAAAATCATTTATTATATGAAAACCGATATGAGGACTGGTCGGTCTTCAGGACCAGTCCTACTGTACCACAAAAAAATGCAAGACCGTAGTCCGGTCTTACAAGTCCTAGGACTGACCAGTCCAGAACTAAGTAGGACCGGTAGGACTGATGATCATCCTTATCTTTGAGGTTTCGTACCACATGCATGTACTCCTGTGTGACAAAATAAATGAGTCACATGATAAAGCTTATGCAACAGCTGAATTTCTCACATATAGTACCACTTGGTATTTTTTTTCCTCAAATAATTTTTTTTTACTCTTGTCCTCACATACGTAAATTTCCACCAATAAAATTTTACAAAAGTTACTATAAAAGTCATTATGTCTATCTCTTGTAAAAGGAAATACCACCGCAAATACTTTTGCAGTTGATATTGATAGTGGAAAGGCTGTCAGCCACCTCAAGGAGGCTAGTATAAAAGTGAAAAAACAGAATGACTTTGCTGGTGTGGATGCAAACAAGCTCAGGCTATAGAAGGTAGAAATTGGTGATGATCACTTTAATGATCCATTGAAGAATCTCACACTCAATGACAATAACGAGCTGTTCGCAATAAAAAAGATTTTGAAATATTTCACTGAATTACCAGTTGAGGAACATATTCATGTCCTAGTTGACCCACCCCATCAACTGCCATTTCAAGCCGTAAGTAGGAACTGCTTGACCGCATTGCATTGTTAAAGAAATCGCTCAGCAAATCCATACATAGTATGTATTTTTTCTT